TTCTTCCCCATTTTCGACTATGGATTCCAAATGTCTGTTGTTTAATGTACATTAGCCCTGAAGGATCTATTTTGACTGACATAAATCCGATTTGGATAAATAAGCAAACAAAACTTCAAAACACAAACAGATTCATTCAACCAGCATGTCTTATATTGATAATGTAATCGTTATATACAGCATTCCAGGAAAAAGGACAAAATAATGATACAATACGTTCACTACTCATCAATTTGGTGTAACCCTTCCCTAGCCTCACTGTCGTCCCTTCGTCTTGGACGACGCCGAGTGTAATGGTGAATGGTGGTGAATGGGTTCCGGCGCGGGGGGGGGGGGGAGAGTGAGCTGGCTGGACGATGCGTCCTCCTGGGTTCTGAAGGGTGCAGAACTGTGGAAGATGTACTCCTCTGCCTCTGTGTGCGACGTAGGATCACCTCCACTGCTACTCTGGCCGGGGTCGAACCGCGAATGGATGGAGTGACCATCATCACCGTCCCGCTGTTGGATGAGATGACCGTGACCATGTCTGCGTAAGGAAGTCGCGGACATATCTCGCATTCGCTGGACCTGGGCTCTGGTGGGTCCGTCTGTAAGGGCGAGGGACAGTGCATCATACATCGCCACCATATCCGCCGCCTGTAGTAATCATCGATCAGTTAAGTACATGATATTTAAAAAAGTTAAAAAATGAGGATGATAAGTATAGTAAAAGAAACTCACATATCCGCTAATGACGTCATGTGCCGGGTGGTAATGGGTGGACGGTGGTGTGTAGTTGGGGTTGATGAAACAGCGTGTGATAAGCCTGTACCACACCATGTATGGATCGTCATGATCCATAACGCCCTGCATGGGATAACCCTGAACGACATGACCCAACCGCTGCTCCCATAGCTGAAGATACTGCCAATGCTCCAGTGCCCAGTTTGTCTCCGTCTTTCCCCAGTGAGTCGATCAAGGGCGTCTCGGTAGTATGGGAGACCCGTCGCCGCATGTGCCTGTGTGAGTCTGGGGACCATCCACCTGGGGCAACAAATTTGGTAAGTATGTTTACAAAATGAAATCGTATATGGGAAAAAAAATGACAATTGTTACAAACCTGCAACCGTAAGCCTCATCAGCTGCAGGGCGAGGCGGAGCGATGTACGGCTCATACTGGTCATCCTGGTCCTGCTGCCCCGGACGATGTACAGCAGGCCTACCTGGTCTTCCTACGTGGATGTGCTCTCAAGCCCATAGCTTCAATAGCAAAACACAAAACTATGTTAAATATGACATTACTCATTGCATAATTCGCTTGTGATAATATACGTAGTATACCTGAAGCACAAACAGAGGTCCTCCAATCTCGAGCGCACCACTCCGTGAGGCTCTGCAAAGTTGGCGATACAACACCGCCAAAGAGGCACTACCCCAGCTGTATCCACGGATATGCTCCCAGTCGTGGTCTAACAGCTGTAGGTAAATAAGCTGCAAGTGGCTCCCACTCTTGTTGCCGAACAACACGCCGGATATGAGGAAGAACAAGTACGCTCGAGCGTATCTCTGTACTGTGGCATCATCGGCGTCCGCAGGCAAGCCCTGGAAAGTATCTCGTAACCAGACCGTCCTCAAGGCGGAGCCCCTAACATCGTTGGGACCCGGCTGCACCCCGAGAACCCGCACAACCAATCCAACGGGATCGACTAGAAATGATCCCGTCACCGCAGTCCCCTGTACTGGAAGGTGCGTCAGTATTGCCACGTCCCGCAATGTCACAGTCGCCTCCCCAACTGGTAGGTGGAAGGAGTGCGTCTCCTGCCTCCATTTCTCCACTAACGCCGTGACAAGGTGTCGGTCGATCTCCCTGAATCCCAAGCGATGTACACCGCCAAAGCCAACGTACGTCACGTACTCAAGGCAGCGATCATGGACAACCCAGGGGGTCCTGTAGTGCCTGCACTGTAGTGGCTTCGCTACGTCACCCTGAAAACACAGGAGCATTTATAAGTAACAAAAGATAGTACATCAAAGAATCCAAAAACGTTAAAGATGAATCATTACCGTCAGGTTCCATACGTCGACGCTCCGATAGGTGTCCAGTAGTGTCAGGACAGAAGGGTCAACAGGTCCGGGTGTCCTATCCCGTACGTCCATGATATCTGTTCATTGAAAACGTTACCCACCAAACACTAACACAATATATTGAATACTAATTTCGATTGAAAGGCATAAACAGGAAATCTCGAACATCCAACGTACAAAATAAAATTCATCGAATTGAACACAATAACACATAATGTAGAAAATTATAACTGTTTCATCAAAATAACACCACTACATACTACTATATCAAATAACACATATACACTTAGCTTTGTGTTTCCATACGACACATGTTCCCGGGTTCGACCTTTGGAGTGCTTGCATGAAGTGGGGAAGTCTGCCATATGAACTCTCCCAATCCCCAAATATCTCAGCTATAGCTTTCTCCTTGGCATACCACGCTCGTCGATACGGGACATCGAAATGAAATTGCTTCGAGATCAGTTCTTGTATGAATTCCACTTTCAACGAAGGATCTTTCCGCACAAAGGACTTCACATACTCGGCTATTACGGACGAATCCAAGTGTGGGTGATCATTAGATAGTACTTCACTGATACATGTCTCCCGATGCGGGCCTTTGTACGTGACTATGGTAAAACCACGTGAGTGCTCACTCGATTTGGTACCCCGTAGCATCCAACCACATTTCTTCTTGCATCGCAGATGTAGGACACCATCATTCGAGGTCACTGTGGTGTAGAATTGATTCCTCTGAATAGAATACATCTTCACCATTTCTTGAAGCAGGTTCTTGCTCTCAAAATACATTCCCTTCTCAAATTCTCCCCCGGGAACAAAAGAGGTGTGGCTACCCGATTCGGCCCAATACTGATCAACTTCATAGTTCTCGGGTACCTCACTGAACCAAGGTATGGGAGTTCTAACCAACGGCTGACCATCTTCCACCTGTGTAGGTTCATCATCCCCCTCTCCGTTCTCGTCCTCATCATCCATTTCCGCATACACATCATACACCGACAATTCATTATTCACAACATCATCAAAATGATTTGGCTCTTCTCGAAACGGTGAACCATCATCACCTTGCATAGGAGAGTAGCTATGCAATTGCATTGGCGAAGATGCCACGGTGTTCGATGACGACGGAGCAGGCTGGCCGAACACTGTCACGCGTCCCCCCGCATGTACTGGTGAAGCTATATGAGAACTAAAAGGCAAGTGAAATTGGTCGTCCTGCATCATTCGAGTGAAAGAACCCATCCCATATGCATTCGATGGAATGTGGTTTGCGGGCTCTTGGAAGGACGCGGTGTTGTAATCAGAGACATATGTAGCTTGCTGTTCTGCCCGAGTACTTTGTTGGGTACATATAGGCACTGTTTCTACATATATCTCATTGGGAAAACCCTTCATTCCTACCATGCTCCTCAGCTCCTCAAACCTTTCAAATGTCTGTTCGTAGAGACAGGTAACACTTGCACCCCATGACCAGTATCACACCTCATTTTAAGGTTCAGTTCAACAGTCATAGGGTTTGAACCAATACAACTGTGAACCTCATTCATCAGATCAGTCACAGTCATGTTCGGTTCAAGTGTCATAAGGTCCATATTCCCTCCACTGTACTCCACATTTGATCCATTACACAAAATTTCACCTCCCCATCGACATAACAACGCTACATTTTGTCCATCCATATTCTACATAACAACCAAAACACATTTTACGTAAAGCCGTTAAATCATCCCTAAATCACCACAATCAAACAAAATTTTTTTACATACTCTACAAATTAACTACTAAGAACCCCTAAATCACCATTATTACACAACAATGTAGGTAATTACAATTGTTCAAAACCTAATAATTATCAACCATTGTCAACAATTTTCAACAAAACCAACAACAACAATTCAACATTATCCAAACTATTATCAACACTAACAATATCAACACTACCATTATCAACACTAACAATTCAACAATTACCAACACTAATAATTCAACAATACCAACACTAACAATTCAACATTTTTAACACTAACAACTCAACCTCATCAACATTTTAACCCAATTCCAAAAAAATTAGAAATCACCAACATAAACCCTAGAATTTAAAACACAAAGAAAGTTGAATGAATACCTATTTCAGGGTGAGGGGAGTGTATAGTGGGCTACACGGAGGGCGACGGTGGAGGTGACGGCGGGCGACGGTGGAGGTGGCGGCGCCGGCGGCGGTCTACACGGAGGAGCACAAGTATGAGAGAGAGGGGGATTAAGTTAGAGTTTGGGAAAGAAGGGGTTTGAGAATGAAGGAGGAGGAAATGAAATGAAATACGCTGTTGGAGGGAAAAAAAAAAACGACAGAAACGCTGTCTCAGACAGCGTTTCATTAATAACCTTAAACGCTGTCTAAGACAGCGTTTATAGTTCCAGAGTTAAACGCTGTCTGGGACAACGTCTTTGGTATAACTGTTTTTGTTTTTTAAAAACATTTTTATAAATAAAAGGCAATTACAAAAATTTTAAAAAAAAGGTCAACAACAAAGACGCTGTCCCAGACAGCGTTTTTAGGTTGATTTTTTTTTAAAAAAAAACCCAGACATAAAACGCTGACCGAGACAGCGTTTTAGCCTGGAAGTTTAGTTTGGTAAATACTTTTGCCACGCAACCATTTTGGTTAATATTTGCCAAAATTGGCTCACTTTGGAAAAACGTCCCATTAATTTCATAACAAAAACTGAAAAACTTAAGAAATGTACATATTTTTGGTCTGAAATGTACAACCTTATTGGTCTAGCCAAACTTTTTTCCAATCCAAGTTACTTTAGGTTGGACTACCTACCACATACTTGATCGATATTAATCTCACGTATATTAAAAGAACATATAGTCAAAAACATAATACGAAGTAGTAACAATGTTATAAATCAAGGGCCATGATACCATGAGATTATATAGCTAAAAATCTAACATATAACACATCAAACCAAATTAAAACTCAAAATATGAATCAAGGGTCATAAGATTTAGCTAAGAATGACAAAAAGTATAAGTATAACACGATTGAAGAAATCAAAGGAAAAAAAAAATTAGTTAATGCTCGGTCTCTCTTTGTTTTTTTATTTTTTATTTTTTTTTATTTTTAAGTAGATAAGATGAATGGTTCTATTAGACCGGAACCTCTTACAAGTCAACCTGATCAAGTTTACTCTGTCTCCTTTCATATGTCTCTTTAAGATGTATGACTAACACAGCCGATGAGAGCGCTAATCCATAAGACCAAGCCGTTGATCTTGATTCGTGAGAGGGTAAATCGATGGACCTCGAGGTCAAGTATCACCTCAAACAATAACCCCCTACCACCTTCCTCAAAGAGAAATATAACCACCAAAACACCCCATTTCATTTCCTTTCCCTTAAACCCTTGACAAACCATAGTCATGAACTCTCTCCAGCAACACCTCTCCGCCCACAACGCCGCCTTCCTCCGTCGCACACTCTCCTCCATCTCCACCGCACCTTCCGCTCCCTCTCCCTCTCCTCCGCCATCAACCTACACCCTCCCAACCTCCTACAAAGTAACCCCACCAATCAAACCATGGCCTAAACACCTCTCTCACAAACGCCTCATCTCCATTCTCACTCGCCAACAAAACCTCGATCTTGCCCTTCAAATCTTCCACTTCGCCGGCAAATTCCACCCCAATTTTTCCCACAACTACGACACTTACTTAACCATCATCACCCGCCTCGCTCGTGCCCGCCAATTCCGTCATTGTGAATCCCTTTTGACCGAATTGCAAAACTCCCACCTTAAATGCGGCGAAATTGTGTTCGTTACTGTTATTCGGAACTACGGGTTCGCGGGTAGTCCTAAGGATGCTGTTCGGACTTTTCTGAGGATACCCGATTTCGGGGTTCATAGGTCAGTTCGTAGTTTGAATTGTTTGTTGAATGTATTGGTACAGAATAAGAAATTTGATTGGGTTTATCTGATGTTTAAGAGTTGTAGGTCTAAATTTGATGTTATTCCCAATATTTTTACTTGTAATATTCTTGTTAAGGCGCTTTGTAAGAAGGGTGATGTTGAAGGTGCTGTTAAGTTGTTGGATGATATGCCGGGTATGGGAATGATGCCGAATGTGGTTACTTATACTACCCTTTTGAGTGGTTATGTTGGAAAGAGGGATTTGGTGGGTGCTAAGAAGGTTTTTCAGATGATTTTGGATAGAGGGTGGGTGCCCGATGTTACGACTTATACGGTTTTGATGGATGGGTATTGTAGGGATGGGAGGTTGAGAGACGCGGTTAAGGTTATGGATGATATGGAGGAGAATGGGGTTGCGCCGAATGAGATCACTTATGGGGTTTTGATTGTGGCGTATTGTAAGGAGAAGAAATGTGGGGAGGCGTTAAATTTGCTTGGTGATATGTTGGAGAAGAGGTATGTGCCAAGTTCGGCGTTGTGTTGTAAGGTGATTGATGTTTTGTGTGTGGAAGGGAAGGTGGATGATGCGTGTGCGTTGTGGAGGAAGCTTTTGAAGAAGAATGTTACTCCTGATAATGTTATATCGAGTACGCTTATTCATTGGCTGTGTAAGGAGGGGAAGATTCAGGAGGCTAAGAAGTTGTTCAATGAGTTTGAAAGGAGTTCAGTTCCTAGTGTGTTGACTTATAATATGCTGATTTCAGGGTTGTGTGAGGCAGGGGAGTTGTGTGATGCTGGAAGGTTGTGGGATGATATGCTGGAAAAGGGGTGTACTCCGAATTCATTTACTTACAACATGTTGATTAAAGGGTTTTGTAAAATTGGAAATCCTAGAGAGGGGTTGAGAGTTTTGGATGAGATGTTTGAAAAAGGATGTTTGCCTAATGAATCAACTTATAGAATATTGATTGAGGAGCTTTCTGGTTCAAATTTGGACACTGAAATTATGAAGTTGTTGTCCAGTGTTTCTAAAAGGGGAGGGAAAATTGATGCTAGTTCATGGGAAGTCATTCTCACCAATGCTCTTGCTAATGTGGATACCGGGGAAGTTCTTGATAGAATTTTACCGCAGGATGCTTTGCCATGATTTTTCATGCCGGGTCTCTGTATAACAACATGTCCATTTGTAGCCACTGTATTTCAAAACTGAGTCTTTGAAGTTCGGTAAAGAGCTCTCCTTAACTAGCTCGTACCTTTTGAAGAAAGATCAATTCCAAATTCTACTAGCGGCTTGGTTATTGAGTATAACTATTTTTATGTAATATAGTATCAGGGTAATATATCTTGTTTGGATCTTTGCTGGGTTGCCCAATAATATGCAAACTTGCAAAGGCTTTCATGGGTGATAATTAATGTGGATCATGACATCTATTTTTGTTAACATTCTTTAATCTTAGCAAATTATGCGTTGGGATTTTACTCGAAGTGTTGATGGGCTTTCTAAAATGGGTGATTATTTCAGAAGTGGGCCTAGATATTGCATTTAGTCGTTACATAAGGGTCTTGGTTTGTTCTGGTGATATCTTTTTTGAGCATTGTGCCATTGGAATACATACATTACTGCAGATAGATTTGATTTTCCTAATTTTTTTCTTATGGAATAGGGAAAGTATTGGTTCAAGGTTTACATTGACTTCATTGGTTAGTAGTTAGTTGAGCTCTATATGGTTTCTCTACTCAGGATTACATATTACTTACTGCATACAATGAAAGTTGGTTTTTAGTCTGGCTAAGGATGTGGCAGTAGGAAGGTATACGTGAATTGGTGGGAGGAAGTCATCAAACTATTGTTCAACCATCATCATTGCTGTGGTTGTTTCAGCTTACTTAAAAGGGACCTATATCACAGTTTCATTCTTATCTCTGCAAGGACTTTCAGTATGTCTGTAGGATTTGACAAAGGGTGTCAAGCTGAAGTGTGTAAATTTGATTCCAAGAAATTGCAGAATAACTCAGGTGATTTGCCTGAGAATGGCCTTCAGGGAAGTGCAGACCAGGCTAGTGGGAAAGATGTGAGTGACTAGAAGACATTTCAGGAGTTTAAGGAAGTTGGTGAACTGGATAAAGAAGAGAAGATACAGAATGCCAGCTCTGATGATTATGAGAGGATTTCTTTTGCTTAGATAAATGTTGAGTCCAGAAAGGATGAAGTTGCCAAACATATAGAAGAAAATTTAATGTCAAGCACTGAAGAATATGAAGCAACTGATCCGACAAAAATATTGAAACTATTGAAATGCAAAACAGATTAAGTTGGAGAGATATCTAGGTAGGGAGGATTCTGATGGCACAAAGGAGAAATAGATGAAATAAGGGTGAAAGCAACAGTAGAAGCCTGGTGTAAACTAGTGTTTGTCCAGATGAAAGTAAAGAAGCTAGGAAAAGAACAACAGAAATACGGTTCCATGACCAACTCAACCAAGCAGAGTTACTGAATGAAATTTCCACACAAACCGAGGCTTGGTCGACTCAAGCAGGAGTGTCAGAGGAACTGAAAGTTTCCGAGTACTCGTTGATCAAGGAATAAAAGGGATACAGATGGAAACTCTGTAAGGTCACTGCTAGTCTGGAGTATATTCCTTGCCTGTCTTGTTCCTCTGTCCAAGGGGTATAAAAATGTAGTAAAATGGTCTAAAAGCATAGGGTATGCCAAGTGCTTGGTGGAAAATATGAAAAATGGAGGATAATTTATTGATCAATTTAGTTGTTGTACTGGTTCTTACAGATTGATATTGCTTTGTGCAGACATGGTTTGCCAATTTATCCCATACTAAGTTTGTTGAACTCGAAGGATATCAGAAATGGGTAAAGGTTTATGGCCATTACATTACATCTGGTGGGAACCAGTTTTAAGCTTGTTGCTATGTGTTACATTGCTTTACTGCATTACTTACCTTACCTAGTTACCTATTCATATTTCATGACGAGCTAGCATTATTGCTTAGAAGGTCTTTTTTTATTGCATTACTTACCTCTTCTAGTAATCTATTCCTATTTCATGCCGAGCTAGCATTATTGCTGAATATGAATCTTAGTGAAGCATCACTTGTTATTTCTTGAAATTATATGAAATCACGAATGATTCTTTTGTTTGAGGTTTTTTGACTTATACATTCTGCTATATACTTCATTCTATAAATAATGCACCATGTAGAGTTTTACACTTCCCAATGAACAATTTTGCCCCCAAGATCTTTTATTCTCATTACATAAAAATTATAAGAAGTTAATATTTTGAAAGTATAAATCGAGACAAATCCAACAAGTTGCCACAAGACTATATCTTTCTTTATGTATGAATTATTATAGATGGCCAAAGGAGAGTGAATAGTGTAGAAGTCCAAATGGTGAAGTATTAAAGGAATGGAAGGAAGTTTTGTGTTTTGTTCTCCTTGCAGGTTGAGTTTATGTTGCTTTATCCCTTGGTGAGTTTCTGTTACACCTCCTGATTACTTGGATAAAGTAGAACTTTTTTTTTGTTTTTTCCACTGCTTGTAGCCTATTGGTACTTTGTTACTGTGATTTTGTTACTCAAATATACAACTGGTCTGTCTTAGTAATTGTGTGTCTTCATTATCTGTAACTTAGTGGACCTGTTTCTAGCTTAATATCTGGAATCCAGACTGTTCTTGACATTGTTAAATAAGATATGCTTAATCTACAGACCGCTCCTGATTTTGCTACTTTTTTGAAAGAGAAGCATTCACGTCACTTGCTTCTAAGGATAAGCATGAAGCACAGGTTCGATTTGCTTTTTAAAGAGGTATACCTGCTGTATTTTGCTGAAAGAGAAACACTCAATAGGGTCCCTTGGAATGTTGAAGGTATTTTTTACATCTTGAATTCAACTTTTGCCTTGTGTTATTAAAATGCTTCTAAAGTTGAAATATATTTAAGGTGGTAAACTGTTTTTTGGAACTGTATTGTATCTGTGACCTGGATGCTATTTTGTATGGTCTGCCAGTCCATTTTTGCATTAAGATCCTGAGGATGTGAGCATTTGGAAAGATGCATTATTTCATGGTCCAACATATTTCACTAGTTATTCAGGAATCTGGTAGTAATCATTGAGTAATAGACTTATAGACCTATGCTTGCAGCTATGTGCAAGCTGACAAAGTCTTATTTCAGGAATTGGTAACCGCTGCTTAGCCATTGATAATGTTTATCAGCTTTCACTATATTTCCATTTTTCTGCTGTTTAGTACAAATGAAGGAGTAGGAACAGGGAATGTTTATAAATTTCTACATTGATTTATATGATTATACTGCAAAGAAAACTACATTCTGTGGATTAGGAGTGTTCAAGCAATAGCTTCAACATTATGATTGAAGGAGCCCTCCCCTATACTATGTTTAAGGCAACTTTAAGATTTTTTGCAATATATGGATGCATCTTGCTCTGTTTTAAATCTATTAATGTGAAGGGGAAGCATATAATTTGCAATTCAGGAAAAAAAAATTAAAATTGGAAGTACATTTAAATGACGTAGCCAAAATTTAAGATAGTTTCACCAGTATAAGATTCAGTAGAACTTTAGCTAATCTTGTTTTGTTCAATCTATACCCAATTTTCACAAGAAAGTATCAAGAAAAACAGCATAAACCAACCCAGAACAGATCCAGTCATTTGTTTACTCTAACCAAATGTGAGTGGCTGAGATACATTTTTTGGGGGAAATTAAAGTCCGTTATGATGATATTTTTTAACAGAAGTAGTAAAATGATTGTCACAAAAAGTACAAGTAAATGAAATCAGGGAAGGGAGTAATATGCTAGAGATCAGAAAGTTTAGGGAAGATATGGGAGTCTGTAATAGAGAAGAACAGAAGAAAGAAGATAGAAAAGAAAGAAGATAGAAATATTTGTATTAAGGAGTTGTATCAAATATCCTTCATTCGAGAGGAAGGTGCTCTCCAAAACAAGCCAAGGCTTTGTGTATAATTTTCTGCATATCCAACTTCATTCCATGCACTCCTACTTATACTGATCATCAGACCATTACATTCATTCCCCCTTACTACCAGAAAATATTCTCTAAAACAAAAAGACTAACAGAACCCTCATAACAGAACATTATTTATTTTAAGCAAAAAAGTAAAATAACAGCTCAGCTCCTTCTTTTCTGAATCTTCTAACCGTTTCCAGCTTGCTTCTTGCGTCTGGCATAAGTAACCACAATTGGAGGCCCATTCCTTGCAATACCTCCCACCCAAAGTTTCACCTTGTCCTCAAGGTGGAAGCTAGGAAACCTGCTGTCAACTTCCTCAAAAAGCTCCCAAGTGGCTTCAAATTCCTGCAAACCCTTCCAATGAATCAAGACTTCCATGGCAGCCTGGAAGTTCCTCACACCAAGCACTGCTTCTGGTTCCACCTCCAACACCAGATCAGCAGTGAGCTGAGCAGGGAGGCTGGTTGGGCGTTGCCCAGCACCCACAGCCTTCTTCAAGTGAGATGTGGAACACTGGATGGATCTTAGACCCTGGTGGCAGCTGTAGTTTATAAGCCACCTTGCCAATCCGCTGAACCACAGGGTAAGGTCCATAGAAACGAGGGGCCAACTTGGTGTTTGACCGTCTCACCAGAGACTTTTGCCTATAGGGCTGCAGCCTGAGATACACCAAGTCACCCACCTGAACTCGCCCTCACGCCTTCCCCTATTCTCATATTGCTGCATATACACCTGTGCTTGCACCAAATGAAACTTTAATTCATCCAGAACATCATCCCTTTCCTGCAACTGTTCATCCACTGAAGATACAGCAGTAGTGCCTGCTGAAAATCGCAACAAGTGAGTAGGATCCCGTCCATACACTGCCTTGAAAGGAGTGTAATTTGTGGCAGTATGAAAAGAGGTGTTGTACCAGTATTCAGCCCATGGCAGCCAACGAGCCCAAGTATGGGGTATCCCACTCACAAAGCATCTTAAATACGACTCCACTCCCTTATTGACGACCTCTGTCTGGCCATCAGTCTGGGGATGGTAGGCGGTACTTCTCATCAACTGAGTTCCCTGAAGTTTAAATAATTCAGTCCAAAAAATACTCAGAAAAACCTTATCACTATCAGACACAATCGACCCTGGTATCCCATGCAACTTCACCACCTCACTAACAAAACTATTGGCCACACTCTGAGCAGTGTAAGGATGTTTGAGGGGAATAAAATGCCCATACTTTGTGAGTCTGTCCACGACCACAAGAATGGTATCCCAACCCAAGGATTTCGGTAAGCCCTCAATGAAGTCCATTGAGATGTCCTCCCAAACTTGCTCCGGAATTAGCAAAGGCTAATCGCATTGTTTTTGGGCTTGTTAAACCCATGACCGAGCTCAGGGATTTCATCTGGTTGTTGTGGAGGTAAGCTGACGCCCTCTGGAAGCGTCTCCACCACAGAAAGTTCTCCAGTATCATCTCCAGCCTCATCATCTTCCAGGAGTAGCACACTCAGGCCGCGGCGTTGACAACGGTGGTTTAGGGACCACTTGTCATCGCAACGAAAGCACAACCCCTGTTCCCGTTTAAGTTGGATTTCTTTCTCCGTCAACCGCCTTATCTCGCCGGTATTTTGTGGTTGGGAATTGTGTTTCGGTTTTGAGAGGAAGGGTAGGGGGAAGCTTGAGGATTCGGGTTTGTGTTTAGGTTCGTGGTTGAGTTAGGAATGTTTGGGCTGGTACGAAGATTTGGGTAAGGGGGACGCCAAGAGGGAAGATTCCCCACGGATTTGGGCCTTGGGCTGACTCTGAACTTCTCTTCTATCCTCATGGACAGATCCATGGCCTGGTAGGGTAAACGAGTCAAGGATCCGGACCTCAATCCGAATATCCTCTTTTAAGCCATTAAGATACTGACCTTTTGCAATTTCTTCGGGAACTCCCTCAATCGGAGCAAGGAGTTCAATGAATCGCCTCTGATAATCAGCCACCGTATCGGTCTGCCGGTGAGCCAGCCATTGCTCGTGTAATGTGCCGGTGGCGGTGGTTCTGAAACGCCGAAGAAGGAGCTTCTTCAAGGCTTCCCACGAAGTTAATGGGTGACGCCTATGCTCCCATTGAAACCACAATAGGGCGTCTCCATCAAGCGCGACAATGGCCGCCTTGAGCTGGTCCTCTTCACCTAAACGGTAAAAATGGAAAAACCGTTCAGCTCTGAGAATCCAACCATCCGGGTTTGTGACATCAAACAAAGGAAGATCCAGCTTCCTCAACTTCCAGTTTGATTGTCCGCCGTGAAAGCCGCCATCTCCACCGTCCAAGCGAGGTTGTGAAGAGAAGGGGTTTTCCCACTGCAGTGGTGACCCATTTTCCAAGGAGGGGTGAAGCTCCGATCGAATTTTCTCCTGACCGGCGACAATCTGGGTGTTGATGTCGGTTTTGAGGGCTGCCAACGCGGTGGTGATCTCCTGAGCCACCTGCGACGGAAGCCCAGCTATCTCCTGCTCCAGTAAGTCCAATCGCTAGCCGTGATTCAGGCGAGCCATCTCCTTTTCCGGCGTGGTTCGTCACCGCTCTGATACCAATTTGCTATAAAATGATTGTCACAATAAGTACAAGTAAATGAAATCAGGGAAGGGAGTAATATATGTTATAAAATTTTCCTTCGATCTTTGTAGTCCCTTGGGTGTTGACAACTTAATATTATAGTTTCATACTATGAATCTCAATTCAGGAACTTTGCATTTCAGGCAAGTATATACAAAGTACAAACTGCCTACAGATCCATCAGATATGGGTATCAGCTTGCAGTTTAGTGGCCATCAAAGCTTGAAAACCCTCCTTACTGCTCAAAGGATTATTTCTGGAAGTAAATGAAATCATGTCAAAGCTGATCCTAAAGATTTCATCAATGACTGCAAGCACTGGAAACATGTGCCAAATCTAACTACCAGAAATAAGTGTAGCCAAATCTTATTTTGATGGACGTGAGAGCTATATTGGAGGGTGAGCTTTTATTCACTTTTTTATAAATAAGTATAGGATTGGCTGGTGCCATAACTCGTGGATTATAATGGCTAGTCTTTTATATGATGCTTAATAGCAGTCTCTCCTTTCTGCTGGCCAACCCAATGTAAAGGATTACAAATGGGGCTATGACTATTGATTAGAGATAGAACTTAGATAAAGCAGGTGGGACAAGAGAGAAGTCTGTCGTGGTCGTAATTTTAGAATAGAAGTAGGAACTACTAGACCATAGAGTATTGAATTAGCATAGGAAGTATACTTTAATTAATTAGTTTTTTTTTTTTTTATTTATAATTATTATTATGTGTGGGTGTTTGTCTCTCTATTTATGTCCTTTCCTCCCTTCTCCAGCATACAGTGTGCCACTGGGTTATGGGATTAACCTTCTGACCTGCAACATTTTAGTGATGATAAGTAGAAAGTTACAATCTTAATGATTCTCTTCAGAATTGCACTTTTCATTTCAGATTTGCTGCAGCCTTGAAGGAACTGAAATTGTGGGTGATGAATGTAGCCCTTATTACTTCAATAGATATACTGCCGATTATATCTGAACGACACCATGTCAACTTATCCAGGATCTTAGGATCGTTTTCATTCCTGATCATTTTCTGTGATCTCGATAAAAGGTTTGTGAAGTCATCTGTAGTAGTATTTATCACAGTTAATAGAAATGCTACCCCATCTGGTATGATTTGTAACTGTAAACTATTCTGTCAGGTGTTAGTTTGTGGCAGAATCTGACAGAATTAACTCTGGTAGTGAACGACGATGCTGAAACCATACTTGAGGTAGAGAGCATGGCCAAATCCAGAAGACCCGGTCACCCGGATCACCTCATCAAAAGATAGTGAAGGATTGCTTTGTGTTCAGAAGACAAGATGGCATTTCTCTGCTGTTGAAACTATCACAACAGCTATAGCTTAGCTTTGAGCCTTTGATGCACGGTTTGTCATGGCTCGAAAATATATGCTGTTCTAGAATAGGTCCATGTTCATATATTGATTTAGAAGCATTGATTCGAATAATGTATCGACATTAGCGTTATTCCAATGTATCTAAAGATTCTGCTCCCCTCTCGGCATAGAGGGGGTACAGTAACAGAAGTATTTTTCCAGAAACAGGTCTTTGCATTTTAATGAATTATGTTTGTTTTTATTAGAGCCATTATAATCCAAAAGCAAAACACAGTGAAACTTTTACTCCTTAGATGACGAACAATAGCACTGGTCATCAAAAGGTGTAGTATTTCTGTTAGCCAAAGATCCAATCCAATCATTCCCATAAAGTCTATTTCATAGACTCACAGTTGATGCACTTGACGGTTTCAACTAGAAACCTATCAATTCCTCACTTTGCCTACTTCTCTGCAACCCCTAATTCCTCCCTCATCTTCATTCAATATTGATTTTCTAGCTTTTACGAATACGTCTATTACCTTTCACACTACCGCTCAGATCCCTCTCATGCCAACATCATTGCCACTCCTCTCGAGCTGTTGCGCAGACTTGAATTTTGATAGCATGTAATCAATTTTGACCATAATAGTTCTAAATCTGAAACTTAAATGGCTATAATCAGCCATTAGTGATCTACATTTAATTCTATACAAAGGTATGCTGTGTTTTGGTTTATCTTTAAGTTAATATTGATTCCATGGTATGGGTTTGATTGAAAGTTGAAACCCACCACACCCCGAGGTATGAAAATCAATGCCTTGCGGGGTTTGAAAGATTAGGCCCTAAGGTTTGGGTTCGGTTGCTTCCAATTTCCAAATACATACCGATTCCAAAAAAATATTGAACCAAACACCCCCATAATTAGCTTCATTACACATTCCATACCAATCATAACTCAAAACTATGTGACTGCTTTGAGGATTAAGATATTCTGAAGACCAGTAGTAATTAGGACTAATAGCTGAAAATGGTCAAATAAAATCACATATGGGCCAGATTCAATTCTTTGAGCAACTTTCAAAATTGGAATAACTCATCGCTAATTGTCTAATGTATACAAGGAGGTTACATAACTAATGCAAAAGATTTGAATCCTCTGTTGGATCAACCAAAATTGACTTCAGCGATCAATCCTCGCGCATCCATGCTAGAAGCCTCACTTCAGACCGTCGCTCATGCCTGGTGGCATCCCTAAACTTTGGGCAAGATTGCTCATTTTGTCCTTCATTGCCTGACAAAAGAACATAACAACCTCAGAAATCTAGAATTAATAATTTCCCCATTATATTTCGTTTTTGCTGTTTCCTTCTTTGGTAATTGAAAGAGTAAACACGGTGACTCACCAGCACGCTTTTCTGGTGTGCATCTTTGTATGCCTCGGTAACTAAAAGCGAGAGTTTCTGCATGAATGATAAGACAGTTGTTCAGTAAGGGAATAAGTGGGCACAACTGAAAAAGAGCACCACATAATAATTAAAGCTCACTTCAGCTCCAAGTTCCATTGCAGCTTCAGTAATCTCAGTCCGAACAGGTTGTTGATTACCAGAAAGGGTTACCTAATAAAAAAATTAAAAAAAAAAAAAAATCAGATATGAAGATATAGCCAAAATGCCAAATGTACAGAATCCAGAGAAGAAATACAAACATTTGTGGTGAAAATTACACAGATTGATAACATTAAAGAATGTAGCACACCCAAAGGCCATAGCTAATTCATATAAAGAGGTATCAAGTTATATTTTTCTTTTAATATATTTATTTTCCTGTGGAGAGAGTGGGATGGTAAATATTATGGGAAACAGCATACCTTTATGAGTTCATCTTCACAGTAACCATCAAATTCTGCTCTGCAAGACCCAAAAAAATAACAAAAGAAACACTTATGCCATTAATCAATACATTAAAATTAATATTCTGCTCAAAAAATTGTAAGAAATTAGCACATACGCTGCTAACTCTTTTTGCACTTTAACTGCTTCAACTTGGACAACCATTTGAGCCTTTTTGACTGTCTCGTACAGGTTTTGCATGTTGCCAAGTATTCCAGCCTACATTAGATCAAAAAGGTAAGTTTAGTAGTAACTCAATAATAGATAGATTGAGGGCATGTACACGCTACATCTCTATCAAAATGTCCCTACTTAAAAAAGGTTAGTTACATACTGTCCACAAAAGCATTGTGTTGAATAATATAGAAAAGAAAAAAGGATATACGTATTGCATGAAATTCTTTTCAGCCTTTTTTTTAGATCCAAGTCCACTGTTGGGCCCAAAGCCTGGTGAAAAGCTGTTTATAGTAAGAGCAGATAATGGCTCTTCCAATTCCAGGTTATTCGTATCCTTTTCGAATCCTTAATTAGATCTAGGTCCTGATTAATTTAATAATGCAATCTTCTTAGTGTATTTTGGAAACTTTCTTATTGGAACTATACCTCAGTCCCAGGATAAAGATCAACCATTCTGTGATCTTATATCATTCTTTTTAAATCTCTTTGATGTTTGGGGATGATGTCTTAGATTATGTTTTCCATGCTTGATGTGCCCTGAAACCTGATGGAGTTCTTCCATGCGTTGGCTGTGTAGCTATTAAAAGAAGGGAATCCTTGTATAAGTTAGGCAATGTTAGTCAAGCATATGATATATACACTAAGGCCCAGGGTTACCTAATAGTCTAATACGTAGTACGCTACAATACGGGGAACGAGTACGAATTTGCAATGCGCTAGGTGGGAGTATGGTAATATGTTTGAGGTTTTTTTGGAGTCATAATATGATATGAACAATACACCCTAATAAATATTAAGGTTTTTTATTTTTAAAAAAGGGGGGATTTGGTATGAAAACCTGAAATTGGAGTTCGTAACATGACGGGTATTAGGTAACTGTGCAAAAGAAACAAACTAAAGCACGAAGGCAAAAGAAGGAACCCCCTCCTCCCAAGCCTCTATGGCGTTTGTTGGAATAATGGAGACAAATAAACAAACCCCGCCTTGTTGATCTATTCTTACTCTCTGCCACCCCTTCTCATTAGGGGTGGTTATTGGGCGGGCCAGTGCGGGTCGGTGTGGGTCATTAGTGGGGCGGGTTGGTTGCGGGTCATGATAAATATTTAGTGGGTCAGAATCGGTTCACGTCAGGGTCGAGGTAAAAGTGAAACGGGCCATCAACGGGCCTTTACCCACATACTTTCACACAGGCATTCATTTACAAATCTCAGGCCACCACCACAAATCCTCACGCCACCACACAAATCGCAGCAACACCACCACAAACCGAACCCACCCACCACCTACTTCCTCACCACCGAACCCCCCCACCACCGAACCCCCTCACCACCGAACCCACCCACTCACCACTCACCTTGAAACACAACAAAATAACACCTAAACCGCCTGAATTAGCACCTGAAAATTCGCCGGAAACCTGCACATCCACTGCCTGAAAAAGGCCCCAGAAATTCGCCGGAAAGGCCGCCTGCAACCTCCACCAAATCGTACCTCCAAATAGAACCTCCACCAAATCGCACCTCCCAATCTAACCTCCACCAATCGCACCTCCAAAACGAACCTCTATCGAATCGCACCTCCACCAAAGCTTGAACCGACCTCCATTTAGCAGAGATGTTGTCGTTGAGGAGAGAATATTTATCACGAAAATACAGATTTTATAGAAGAATGAAAACCAAATGCCATGCCTTCTCAGTGTAATTGTAGTTTCTGCAAATTGCGAGGTCTGAGCTTGAGTTTGAGCTAGAGTTTTGAGTTTTCATGGCGGATTGAGGAGGGATTTGGAATGAGGAAGTTGAAGTAAATAGGGTTTAGGAAGGAATTGAGTTGAAGATTAAGGATTTGCAGGATCCATGGAGTAGAGAGAAAAAGAAAGGGGAAAATTGGAGGTTCTGTTTTTTTTTTTTTTTTTTAAATTTGGGTTTTTTCTTTTTGGCCCTTTAATTTTTCTTTGATATTAATTGGCTGTCAATAAAAGCCCATTATTGACCCTATCCACTAAAATATTAAAGGGTCAAGACCCTTTAAATTTTGGCCCGACCTATCAATGGGCAGCCCTATCCATTAACCACCCCTACTTCTCATTAATTTCTATCTCTTTGCATTGAGATATCACAACACGAGGAATACGCTAATTTGGGAGTATTAAAACACGAAAGTATTGAGTATTGGAACGTAGTAAGTATCAATATGGAATTCGCTGAGCGAAGGGAGTATTAGGTAACCCCGCTAAGGCCAACCAAAATTTCTGCATTGAGGCAATCATTGGAATTTTAGTGGGTATGTTTGAGCAAACATCTGAAGTCTGATCTATAATCCTATGGCTAGAACAAAACAAAGAAAAGCCCTTCAGAAAAGCTACATCACATTCACAATTGGGAAGTGGAAGTTAAGTGGAAGCACTTGAAAATATATAATTCAAGGTAAAAGGTTGACTCCTATGGCACAGAGTTAAGTAGGGAGTCATCTGTTGTTGAGGGTCTGAGAAGTGAGGTGATCAAGGACATGGATGATATTGAATTTGCATATATACCCTCTAAATCTGGAAACAAAAGAGAAGACTTGCTAACTATCACTTAGTACCTGATGCTAATTGGTAATGGGAATATGGGATAGAGCCATAGAGGACAATATGCTAAACAATGGTCAGAAATGTATCTCACAAGAATAAAGCAAGAAAACCAACATACGACTTGTGTAGAGCTCCCTGATAAGGATAAGAATGAGAATCCAAGTACAGAGGAAAAGAAATACTTTATTAACTCTATCAACAAGAAAAAGTGAACCTCCACTTTGAGAATCCCAACCAGTAATATTGACTGGTTGAATGAAGGGAAGGAAGCTTTATACTCATACACCACAGTGACAGTTCCTACATCAAAGCTGCAAACAATTGGATTGCTAGAAGTCCCTCAAAAGCTAGTTTGAAAAGAACAACTCACCTTCAAGGCTCCAATGGATAATCTCATTCAAAAAATACTCCTCTATACAGTTGTTGGAGGGTTACTGTACTCATAGATGTACCAGACCTCAAGATGTAAAGTAAATAGCCATGATGATGCCGACCATATGTTCATGAGAAAGCAGTCTCTTGTGGCACTGGATATGGATAATGTATTTGGCCACCAACATCCAATACCCATTCATTTGCAAAATTCAAATTTACATCTCACAACAGAAGCAAGGTAAGCCTAATCGTACTGGCAAGCAAGCAGAAAGCTCAAGAACAATCCGTAACTTACAATCACGGAAAATAAGAGGTTTCAACACTCAGCTATCTAGCATTTCAAAATTATGTTGCTTCTGTGTAGGTGGCAAGCACGAGTTGGAAGCATCCCCAGCAAAGAAGATTGCTAGATTCAATCAAAGTCCTTGTCAATCAGGTGAGCAGTATGGGTGTATAATATTAGATTCAAGTCTTCTAACTTTGTACTCACTGGGTGACAAGCACCCAAAAAAAAAAAAAAAATCATGTCTACTATTTACACCCTAATTTGGCCAAAATAAAATCATGCCAAAGGCAGGGGGACTATAGATACAAGATGAGCTCACAAATTGTCCATGAAATCATTGAAACGCGTACAATACTAATACCTACAGGGAGGCTCTGATTTTTCCATGCAAATATATATGACAACTGCGACAAAGGATGAAGATATTCTGATACAAGAGCATATAGAAATATAAGGAAAAAGAAAGCTCACTTTTGATGAAGAGTCATCGCCCTTTTCGCTATCCTTTTTACCTCCAAATAAACCATATACACGTACTGATCTTGAGCTCTTCCCAGAGTTACTGTTCGTCCATACCAAACATGGACGGCCAATAGAATTAGCCTGACTATTTAACTTGCCTGTAAAAATAGTAAATGATTAGATTACATGACAATAAGATACTGCAAATTGCATACAACATCTAAATGATGCATGGTAACATTCAAACATAACCAAATAAGAGACTAGTCTAGGAGAATTACTTTGCGGAGTGACTTCTATTTCTGTCAAAGGGAGCTTGGGGAATAAGTAAAGAAGTAGTTAAGAGGAGAAAGGCGGGTAAAGGGAGTAAAGCTCCTATACAGAGGAGTTGATATAGAACTGGGAATCAGAAAATTGTCGAGTTTATTACAGGTTTTCAGTTGCTTAATTCAAGAGTATCCAACCACTCTTAAGGCCTATAATTGAAAACACCTTTGTTCATAGTTTAATAGCATCAACATTACAATCATCTATCTATTCCCAATCAAAAGTCTTTTTTATATTAACTTTTCTTCAATTTCATCTGTTTTCCAGCTTATGTTTGCGATTTTCCACCTTCTTTTCTAAGCTTCCATCATCAAATACCCAATCTATGACACACACTTTCCCCATACTTTACAAAACCCAACTCAGGACACAACTTTGCAACCAGAGAAATGCAAACTCAAAACCCCCGACTCATTTTTTTCAACAGGATATGACATCCTTACTGAATATAACTTCAATGATGGTACTAACACTGGCCAATAATGTCACAATAGTTCAACAATGCTTTCCTCAGGCAGGCTTGAGGGTGATGTCGTGCCTTTTTTCGTTAATTACTATATTTCATGTTTATGTTCCCAATATAACACTATTATCTCTCTATCGGAGGGTTATTTTTTAAATAAATATTGGTTTATATTGACCTATATATTGGATTTAATTTCTCTCCTTGTAAGAGTTGAGAGCTACAGATTGATTTGTCAAAGGAGATTTGTGCACTGTTGGAGGAGATATCAACCACTCGTGTGCAATCAATTTAATCGGTTCATTCTATTCGAAAACTACAATTAATCAATAAACCCCGTCTTAGATAGTTGTATTAAATAATGACATGAAAAGGGTGATCAGATCTCATCCACAAATGACCATGGTTTGCTGAAGTACAATTTTATTTGATCCAATTTAATATATACTGCATTTGTTAATTATTACCTTTATTGTAGGTGTCATATGACTTCCAAATAAGAAATTAATTTTAGTTTAAAACTATGACTAGGGAAGTACTAATCAGCTTGCATCTCCAGGAGTCTTTAGAACACCAAATATCAACATTATGTATACCAGTTTAGGGTGATTGGAAAACAAACTATTCCATTGGATCACCCACTTCCTCCCTGATTCTAGTGATCTAGCTAAGGTAAATTCATGTGGCCCACGCCTTAGGTAAAGGAGTGTAGCCAAGTCAAAGTGAACTAGGCATTGATCAATGTTCTCCATACATAGACATTTGAGGTCAAATATCAGAATGACCTATTCAAACCTCACTTCATTTGTTTGAGAGAAAATCTCTCTATTTAAAAAGTCTAGTCTAGTAGATAAATAGAAGCCAAAATATTGGCATGGTCTTCCTAAAGACATTGGCGCATGTTCATCCCATTTATAGATAACATCAATTCATTACCTTTGGAATACAAAATCTAGCATAAGAAAATACTACACCTAGCATAAACACCATTTGAATTGATAGCAATGGCTTAGAATTTTCAACAAAGTTTTTAGCTGCGCAAATCTGGTTGGAGAATACGGAAGCAATAAAAATCCAATATAGGGTTAAGAAGATTAACATTATGTTATTCTTAGCTATATATACTATTCAGACCAAGTATCGAACGATAGACTGTGACTTAGAAGAGAATATAAGCCAACTATCCCATGAAATTTTTTAAACCTTCCAAAATCAACGTACTTAGATTATAAGCTAGATAAAGTCCTACCACACACACTAACTAATAGGCCATACACATAAGTTAACAATATAGACCTACAATTATCTTTATAGATTAATTTGTTCAAAGCCTATACAAGCCCCTATCTTATGCACCTAATTACTAAAGAATACAAGACAAATAAGTACTCCAAGACTTATGTCATATAGACATATTGATAGAGCACTTGTGACTTGATGTTCAATTCAGATCAAAAATATTGGAAACTATTTCATTGGAATAGCCTAGTGTGAAGCTTACTCACATCTCCACCCGAGTTCTAAGTAAGATTAACATAGTCTAAGACATCTGGGGGACAGCGAGCTAAGGAAGTATTGGGAGACAACAATGCTTAAGCTCCCAAAAACGGACCAGTTAACTAGCAGCTGAGGCATAAGCTGCGGAACTGCCATGATACTTTAATATTCAACTAGGTACGTGTACATTCCTTGTACATAACAAGGCTTAGCCAATATTACAATATAGGAAAGTAAGGAAACCATTGTTTATGCATATCTTAGCCTCTTAGGGATAATTAACAGAATTAACACTACCCCAATCTAAAAAAAGGATGGGTATCCCTCATTAATTGGTATACAGCATAGCCGAATCAAGCAATTGCCTTGCAGCAAGCTAGCTAATCAAAATTGGCCATTACATTCTTAATTAGAATTATAGCAGCTAATCAAACAACTAAAATTTAGAAGGTCTATAATCAAAAATTATGATTTCCAGTAAATGATAAATCTTTCAAGCAATAATGATTCATGCAAATTAACGATTGGAAAAATGAAGCTAAAGCTAATACTATTAACATAATTGGCTTAAAAGAACCCTAAATTAAAACGATTAAAACCCGAAATCAAAATATCATGAAGCAATTGACATAGTAAGAGATGAATTACAAATTTCAATTCGATAAAAAACAATAAAACATAACTATTAGAGACTAAAATCAAAAATAATAAACAGGAGTATTAGAAGAGAGAGAGAGAGAGAGAGAGAGAGAGAGAGAGAGAGAGAGAGAGAGAGAGAGAAAGAGAGCTTACAGAAGGAGGTACAGGAAGAAGAAGCATAGTGGGATTTGAGGGTGTCGTTGAATCTGGAATAAATTGGAAGTTTTGATGTGCTGAGTGGTGTGCTCGTGGACGCCATGGAAGGAGAGAGAGAGAATGACTGTGAGTGGAAGAGAAGATAACAAGTTATCGATGAAATGAAAAAAATACAAGTTATCACTCGTGTGCTTATGCGTTCGTTGCCTTTCTCTTATATCCGCTTTTTTTTTTTTATGGCTTGCCGGATTCGGCCAAAAATGTCACGTTAACTGAGATATTTTGTTAATTTCATTATAGAATTACTATGGAGATAAACTGGAAATTCCATCTTTTATATTTTTTATAATGTCACATTCGCTTTTATTTTAACATATTAACCTTTATTTTAATGTAGTGGCCTTTTTTTTTTTTTATTAATAAAACAATTATAGTATGTCTAATGTTGGTGGTCTACGATAAATTTGTGTGAAGAATTTGTAACATTCTTATAGCTTCGTTGGGCTTATTTTCTGTGCGGATCAAAGATGTATGCTGATTTTGTTTTCCCTGCAAAACTTATGGTTCATGAAATAATTAGGTTGTTCGTGTATATAGATGGGTGGAATGGCCTGGACAAGTACGCCGCAATACAACCTTGAATGTTAGCTAGGTACGACTGTACGAGTGTGCAACAATTTTATTTTCTACTGATTGATTATCAACCTAACTCAAATTGTAGATTGCATATGCACGAGTGTAATGCATACGGAAAGGGAAACATAATAGAGTTCAAGACATAGAAGTTGGGTTTATCTGTTGATATAGGCAATATAACTATTACGAACTTACCAAAGAGATGAAGATAAATTATATAATAGCTTTAAGGGAACACAAATTCTGAATATTAATAAAGCTTTTACACTAGTTACAAGATTAGTCAGATTATAGGATTTACAGGAGCATAAAATTTGATGAAAATCATGGTATATAGCTCTTCCAAAAATAAAATGTTATCGACTGAATAATAGAGAAGGTTCTGCAGAGCTATAAGAGCTGCTAATTTCCATAGAAGAAGTGCTAAAACTAGTAAAATCATTATAGTATAAACCTTTGGATACTGTTGCAGGCCTTTCAACAGACAGATGAATTGACAGTACTGCTTCTATCTCTAGCAAAACTTCTTTCATGGTTGGTCTTTTCTTTCCATCCAAGTTTAAACATCGCTTTGCAAGATTAGCAATTGTAAGAAACTCTCCCTTCAAACTCTTTTGTAGAATTTGAGAATCTATAATATTAAGCAAACTACATTCTTCCATATGGGAAAGAAACCATGATGTCAAACTTCGATCCTCTTCTGATGTTGCTCGTATTGCTTTTTGTCCTGTTAAAAGCTCGACAAGAACCACCCCAAAACTGTAAACATCACTTTTTTCTGTAAATTGACTAGACTGGAAGTACCCTGGATCCAAATAACCAAATGTTCCCATAACTTCAGTAGTTACATGGGTTTGATCAATCGCTATTGATTTTGAGGTCCCGAAATCTGATAATTTAGCCCTATACTTGTCATCCAAAAGTATGTTGGAAGACTTGATGTCCCTATGAAATATAGGAATAGACGATGATGAATGCAAATATGCAAGTGCTCCAGCTGAATCAGAAGCAATCTGTAAGCGCATTTTCCAAGTGATTTGGAACTCTGCATTCGGATAATGAATATGATGGCAAAGAGTTCCGTTGGGGATAAACTCATAAACTAGTAATGGAACTTCCGTCTCCAAACAACATCCCAATAACTTCACAATATTCCTGTGACTAATTAGTGATAAGATAACAACTTCATTGATGAATACCTCACGATTGCTTTCTTTCACTAGTTTTGACTTTTTTACAGCAACTATTCTTCCTTCACCAAGCATCCCTTTATAGACAGTACCATGGCCTCCTCGTCCAAGTATTCTATTTTCGTTGAAGTGGTCAGTGGCTTTCTCCAACTCCTCAATTGTGAAAAATTTAGTTCTATCTACAACTCCGTCACCAGAAGACATTTGTTGGTGCAGCAACAATCCACCATTTCTCTCAAAGTGTTTAGCTCTTTGTTTGACAACCTTCTTTTTCTTGATTAAGGACTTCACCCACCATCCACTGAGAAACAGAAGTATCGATCCCAGCGTTACACTCAGTCCTGCAGCTCATGAATATACAGCTCAGATGACACATATATTAACATTAAATCAGGTTTCAGACAGTTTATTGATTATTATACTCATGTAATAATAGAAAGAGAGTAAATAAGGCCTTGTAAAACCAACAATAATTCAAGGTGATCGTCATATATACCGACCAATTTTTTACATAAGAAAATATTAAAGGAATTATGCTTACCTACTAACAACTTGTATCGATCATGATGATTAGTGTTGAGATGAGGAATGCAAGGATCATTCAGTGTGGCTTTTCCACTGTAACCCCGTGGGCATTTGCAATTATAACCTCCACGAGTGTTGATGCAGAGTGCCGGTTTGTTGCATGGATTATTGTTTCCATCCGCACATTCATCAATATCTAAATAATGTATACATAATGTAAGAAAATGAACTCGGGAAGAAGAAACAGAACAAGAGTGGAGTGAAAAGTACCTTGGCAGTCCTGAAGGTAAGGGTTACCCTGAAATCCTGGGTTGCATTTGCAGCGGTATCCATCCCGGTATTGCTTCTCATAGCATTTGCTATTTCCCCGGCACATGTAATTCCCATCTGCTCGCGCTGTTTCACAAGTTGTATTCCCAATCGACCAATCAAAGAAAACAGGAAACTTCAAATTCTGGTAATAAGTATCATCTTGGGTAAGAATCTGTCTGATAGGGTACGGCAGTGAATCATCTTCTGCATAATCCTTAGCCAGCACAAAAGCGACACTGCATGGGTTGAAATCTTGCACCAACTGCTGGTCACTCAGACTTCTGAATGTCAAATCAACATTGTTTAGTCCATTTGGAATGGAAACCAAGCAACAACCAATGCCAGAACATGATCTAGTATCAACATCTTCGGGTGCAGCACACACAGTCATGCACCCGGAACGAAACTCTCTCCTGTTGTCCATTGTACCATTCAGCATCACAAAAGTGTCACACCCAATAGCACCAATAATGTTCTTGGTCGTCGAGAGAGGAAACCTTTTCGTACGTATCCAGGCTCGGTATTCAGCAGAAGGGGCAGTGGTATTAGACTTATCATAACAGCGATATGAAATAGGGTAATGAACCAAGAGTTCACCCTTCAAGGTAATTTCCTTAATCTCTACCTTATTCCCCAAAGCAAGGATTGGAGGGTTGGCACTATTGTTACAACTAAGGTTGAAGTATCTACCATCATCAAAGGGAGTACCATAGTGACATTTATCCCCTACACCAAATGGGTAAGGGACCGTAATGTTGCCGCATTTTTCGGGACAGTTCGGAAGCGAGGTTGCTGATGATAATGAAGCTAGTATTGGCCATAGCAGAGCAACAATAACGTTTACAAAACATTGCCATCCCTTGTTCAACATTCTTCTCATTTTTGCACCAACTTAACAATTAAGTGTTCACATTTTATAATAAGCTTGTTGGTGGAGTACTTACAGCACAATTCACAGCTGCAGCCAAGAATTATACTTCAAAAATGAGGTGTCTAAAGTGCCAATTATTGCACTCCATTGATAATTAATTCTTAAGAATCAAGTGGTCAGTTTAAACGATTTCTTATTCTATTCTACTAATTTGAATCAAAATGACATATTCAGTAATTGATTATAATCACTAACTCACTATACACACCTCCATTAAGAAAGTTAATTATGGTCAATGCAAGTCCCAATTTCCGAGGTCAATGCCTTCAAATGGAAGAGAAAAAACAGTTGTTTATGCTTTAAATACAAAAAATAAACTACTTCTCGGTTTATTCAACATACAAATTGGATATATAATTATATATAAATATATTACGAGTAAAAATAACAATATACGAAGTAGTACCTTAAAGTCTAAAACTGTGGATTTAAAGGGTCAACAGTTTGAAACAGGCCATATTAAAAAGTCACGTGTTAACAGGACTAAACTACCAACTTAGACGGGCTAGGGTGATAGTCAAGATGCAGTAGATTGAAGTCGTAGTATGTAATATGGACTATGGACTACGGAGTATAAATTATTGATTTTCACTTATTAAAACAAAATTAAAATTAGATTTACCGATCAAAACTTAATTTTAATTCTAATATTCACAAATTAAACTAATATTGTATGTATGTACTATTTTTTTATTCCTAGGTAAAGAGCACGGTGCTTAAGTATCGTGTCAAAAACACTGTATTTTGATTATGTTACGATTGTTATCCTGTTGTTATTTGTTAACAACATATTTGCCACTTGATTGCTATTGTCAAAGAAAAAAAAAAATAAATAAATAAAAAATTGCTACTTGTTATTGTGTAATAAATCAAACAATACTATATTTAGTCAGATTATAACGCAAAACAAGATGTCATTAATTAAAAAATTAAGAAAAGACCCAAGTAAGATCAGACGAAGTGGTCGTCCATTGTAGCATGTCAATGCTGATTTCAGTTCAAACCAAGCCGCAATTTGATGAAGAATTATGAGCTGGCAGTCGATTTGAAGGTTGACTTCAGCTTAATCGATTGAATTCGATTCGAATTTTTGGAGAAAATATATGATTATATCTAAGAACACAATAATTGTGATCAAAGTTGTTTAAAGCTAATGAAAGATCGTTTGATACTAACTGAAGAATAAGAAGCTTTTGATGAGTTATGAGTAGTACTATTTCAATGGGAGCAGTTAAGAATTGAGAGGAGTAAAACAAGTCAAACGATGCTAATAAAAGCGATTAAGAAAAAAAAAATAAGTCACTATATTAAAATAAAGATTATTATGTTGAAATAAAAGCGATTGTGACATTATAAAAGTTATAAGAGGTAAATTTTTTGGGATGTAAACAGAAATAACATTAAAGGTCACACAAGTTTTAATAAAGATTACTATGTTAAAAAATAAAGATACTATGTTAAAATTACGGTCACTATGTTCCAAATAACGTAAGTGATACGTGTATATAAATCTCAGGTCCACAATAATATTATTGTGGACCAGGTCCACGCAAGAATTTGTCGGAGTATATATCTCTTATCATATCAGTACACCTATCAATTGGTGGTATAACAGTGATGTGGGTTATACGGATGCAATTAATATGGGTTGATGATTGGTGTATGAGGTGATTGTTGTGGATTTGAGCAAGAGTTATATGAGATAGATACATGAGAAAGAGATTATATGAATGTCCAATAGTAGACAAACAATCAAACTTAATTAATAAACTAATATTTATTAAAAAATATTATACCTCATAAAATCAAGTCAACAGGTTAAGTTCGGGTTTGGGTCGGCTTTCACTCGCAAAGTTACGGGTTAAATCGGGTTACGGGTCAAAAAACTTTGTTCAAAACCCACAAAGACAGGGTGGGTTCAATTCGAGTTGGGTTTGCAAGTCGGGTCGAAAATTGACAAGTCTAGATACTAGACCCGATCAAGTTGAGCTCGTCCTCACCCGGCCCGATTTTGGGCGGGTTCTGGACAGTTTTTTCCAGCTCGAAATCTGGTTGGGCCCTGCGCTGCCCAATTTTTTACAAACTTTGGACGGGCTTGGGAAATTCGAATGATTACAAATCAGGCTTTGATTTTTCAGATTATTTTGCTCTACCATAGATATTCATAGAGACTAAAATAAACTCATATCGGGATTCAATTCAAAGAGAAAAAGAACTAACTTACAATTAAGCTAACATTCTCCAACAACAGACTATAACAAGCACTAACAGACGTAACAGCCTCTAAAGGAGAAAAAGCTCTTCTAGCAATACCATCACTAGTTCACTACCAACAAATATAAACAAGAGTTTTGATTACTGTATTTATGAACTTCAAAAGCTAATAACAAATAGGAAGTGAGCCTCTTGCCCATTTGAAGAGACCAGGCTGATCTATCGAACAAACTACTCATCCTCCCAAATGAAGTCGAGATTTGAGAACCTAGAGACCTGCAAGGAGCACAACAGCAGGAGTCTGTAAATACATATATAATGACTAGATTTTGCAAATAAGATTCAAGAACATCTTAAGACCAAAGAAAAGATGTGACTAGGTGGAAGGAAAAGTAGAAAGATACAACCGCATAAAGGAAATTATTTACTTTACATTAAACAAAAATCAAACGATTACCCATGTTGAAACGAGTGTGCAGAAAGATAAGGATGTACACGGTTTGACCATAGCCAATGTTCACAGATTAACTCAAAGGAGTTTCATTATTTGTGAGATATAAAGGAGTCGGGTTTAGAACAAAAATAGCTGGTCAAGCCCCCCTACAAAACACCCTGTCAAAAACTCAAATAAACTCCATAAACACTTCAGAAAAGGAATTGATTGATGAAAAGACATTTATACCATGATGTCTAATCCACAACAATAGATACAGTGGCGGAGCCAGGATTTATAATTCGGGGGGACAAATTTTGGAGGTTAAAGTTTCGGCAAAAATCTCAAGAAAAAAATTGATAACCTAAATTGTTTAATATTTATTTGAAATCACATGCCAATTATTTCTATATGGAAAAAGAGGGGTAAAAAAGTTTTATTGTATATTAAGAAAATTATCCAACAAAAATGAATAAATTTATATTTGTAAATCCTGTTATGTAATCACATAATTGATAAATACGAATTAATTACCTTATCATAAAGTCAAATAATTATCGTTAAAACAAATTGATGGTAGATATGAAGGGCCAGGGTTTGAGTTACATTCGAAAAAATAAACTCAACTTTTTCAAATCAATCATATTATTAATATGTATTTCGTTAAAACACAGTTACAAACAATTAATTAATAGTAATCTATTTATTAGAAATGTAAAAAAAAATTGAGTTTAAGCACACTTAGTTAAGCGATAATTAAAAACAAGAAGTAGGAAATAAGAAATAACATTAAAAATCCTAAAACAAGAAATAGGAAATAAAAAATCAAATTAAAAAGGTTGTTGAAAATTAGAGTATGTAATAAAAAAAACAAGAAGTAGGGGAAAAAAAAAACAAAAAAGCTGAAAAACAGTAGAGTAGGGAATCGAACCTAGGACCAAAACACAGCCTTACTAAGGACTCAACCACCAAACCATATTCAATATTGTGATATCTACTGTAAGTATATGTTATTTATAGCCTTTTACTGTATTTTCTTGATTTTTTTTTTTTTAAAAAAAAACTTTTTTTCCGAAAATGGGGGGACAACTGTCCCCCCTTGTTCTAATGTGGCTCCGCCACTGAATAGATACCAACACACAAGTTTTTTCTCCAACATACCATTACAACCTACAATTACAAGCTGACAGCCCGTCGTGCCATATCTGTATAGATCTTTCCGTATTCAAGTCCAACAATCCTCTTCTCCAGATGAATAGATGGTAGTCTAAAGGCCTCCTACTAAGAACTTCTCATGTCCCAAATTATTTGCAACTTGCATTAATACTAAATTTTTGACGACTAATATACAGAAAATAAACATTCACCGGATTACAAAAATATATCGTTACATACGTATCGAAAACTCTTTACTAGTGTTACAAATATTTCTTTAAATATTAAAGGCCAATATTTTTCAGAAATAGAAAGTACAATAGAAGCAAATAATGGCAGCATAATTAACAAGTATCCAACTAATATTGGTAAAATACATTCATGAACTGAACTTTCATCATTCCAAATATCCATTACCCATGACTTTACGAGTAAGTGTTTTGTCAGAATTGGGGGAGGCACTACGTCTATGTATCCTACATTCCGATTCATAAACAATGATTCACGCATCTAGAGGTAATTTCCAAATCAAGCAAGATAAATACACATGGAATGGAAAAATTCAGCTAACCAGCAAAAGAATTATTTCTCATACTAAGGTGGCAGTGTGGCAGAGAGTCAGCCCAGTCAGGTATCAAGACATTCTAATCAATCGAAATTGCCTAGAAGCAACAAGTGATTAATAGGCAGCTGTAGCTAAAATGGCATTTTGGCTACTAACACTGCAGCTATGGAATCAGCAATTCATCGCCAAAACACGACTTGTAAATGAAGGTATCCTTCCTCAGCATAAGTCATACAAGATCAATTAGTTTCCTACTACTCAGCCAATGCAAAACGGTTACCCGGATTTCAGACTCTTTGTGTGCTAGATCAATATGCTCAATTAAAATAACTATGTTCTTGACAAAGGCCAAGTTCAGACCTTCAAGGTACAAATAACAAAGGTTATCTCCATTAAATTGGCTACTTAATAAAAAATATGTAATAGTCCACACATGCCCTTTTATCCTGTGAAACTCTACAAAGAAAATTATGAGATGAAGTAACAAGGGGATATTATAAAGCATTATTGTTATTTGGTAAGTTTCAAAACAAATGGATAAATCAAGTCTCACCAACAAATGAAAAGAAATTGTAAGATTTGAATTACTTAAGTACATTTAAAGGATACATTAACTCAATAACAATAGCCAACCTAGTTACAAATAGGGGTGTACAAAAAAACCCCGACCCGAAAACCCACAAACTACCCAACGGGTAATCAGTGAATATTTTCAATTTTACGGGTTGGGTACCCACTTAAAAAACTTGAATTCTGGGCCAGAAGTTGAGTATCTCGGGTACCCGTTAGTTACCCATTTTATTTTTATTAATATTTTTTTTCCTGGAAATACTCATAAGGGTTTACTCTTATTTCTTTACTCTCTCTCTCCTCTGCCACACAAAGTCATCTTCTCTTCATCTCACTCTCAAAATCTCACTGCACCTCTCATGGCAAACCCACTTATAACTCCTTAAAATTACAAACCCACTAATAAACTTCATTTAAAATATTCAGATCTTAATCATTTTATGAAAGGTGGGCTGGAACATTCAAATCATCATCATTATCCCATGGTCCATGGAAGCTTTTTTTGACATAAACTTCATTTCTGTCATTTGTTTACAACAAAACTAATTTTGGTGAGTTCTTATGAAAGCTGGGCTGCTTCTATGTATACCAACCAAAATCTTTCTACAAAAATTCATAAGGTGTTCCACTCGTGATCCCACAACACCACCATACCAAGAAGCATCAGATCTGACGCCAATGATGATGGGAACACCTTTATATAGCCACCTCACTTCATCCTCTGCTGCCTATTTATCACTCCATCTCTTTGTAATCGCTCTACTTGCATAGACTTTTGCTTTCTGACCTACCTGACCTTTCCTACTATTTGTCTCACCTACTTGGAAATTTCACAAGCCACCTCTTAGCTACACTTTCTATCAGCAAGGCACATGCTAAGCTATTGTCATTGTTGGTAACATGGTATAAGCAGAACCCTTTCTCTTAAAAATAAATAAAGAATTAGAGATGTTTAAATAACAATTTAGCTGAACAAGCTGCAGGAAGCAGGAGCTGCCATTAGAATATCCATCCAAATCTCCAAAGCTTGTTAGATTACCTAATTCCACCATCAGCATCAATGGGATGAACATTCCCACATAACTTCTCTTCCCCTAACCACAGGTGTCTCCTTGCACCAACAAGTAAACTTTCACTTTTTACACATACCTACCGACTATGTCAATATTTTCATTGACAGTGAGATTGGATAGCAATAAATGGAGTTCCTGTCAAAAAAAAAAAAAAAAAAAAAAAAAAAAAAAAAAAAAAAAAAAAAAAGAAGCAATAATGGAGAAGGCAATTGAGAAAAAGAAGAGGGAGGAGAGGAGATTCTTTCAAAATCTTTGGATTAATTTACTTCATTAACGAAGGAACAAAAATGGATCCCTCCTACCCAAAATAGCAGCCAAACAAAAGAAATTTGATCCCTTAATCTCTTTTCCTTTCCTTCACTTCAAATTCTCTCATCAAAAAAATCCTAAGCCAACCCAAAACGTTCTTTATACTACTCTCAACTAATAAAGGATAAAAATCCATGAATCATTATCACTCAAACATTAATAATGGCATGATAATTGCTTGTTACTGTTGGTAGACTACTTAGGATAACCAATCCCATCGCCCACTCCCACTCCGAAACTAGAAAGGCACATAGTGTGTTTTATTTAATTTTTGATTATTTTAATTATAAAAATGAATTCTAATAATATACTTCAAACTATTTCAACTATTTGCATCAATCCAACCATGTTTTTTTCAAAGTATATACGCCAAAGAAATTTTCCTAAAGAGAATGTACTTTATATGGAAGCCGCATACAAATGGGATGTTACTCTCGATTTAGAAAGGAACCCTATCCCAAACACACACACCTCGGGTGCATAAAGCTATGCACTTTGAGAAAGAAATTACGTTATAGCCACCATAAATTCTTTGTATCGAAACAGGAACAGTGAAGTACTAAAGTGTGTTAACTAAGAAAAAGTGAAGGTGAGGCAATTTGACACCTAGCAACCATCATTTTCCTCATTTTGAAAACAAAAACAATGGCAATATGGCATAAATTTAAGCAAATACATATATACACAAGGAAGCTTCACTTTCACTGGTAAACAGGAAGACATCAAACACCAATCCCAAAGAGAACAGAAAGAGAAGTAAAAAGACAAGGTGCAATTAGGTATAGAAATATAAAACATACATACTTAATTACTCATTTCGTCCCCAAATATACCTCTTTGGGATGTCTAATATTAATTGCATCAGTCCTTTTCAGTAAGCGTATTTTGTCTACTTTACTCAAAAGTTGGGCTTGGACCACCCATTTCTTGCCCTCAAAAGTTCCGCTTATTCAAACCTCCACATTATTTCCCTAAGTTGCGATAATAGAAGACAGTCTGGGAACTATCTTCTCTAACTCAAGTAGCCCTTGTCATAAAAGGGAATTGTGAGTGTGCGTGTTGTTTTTTCTTTTTTTTTTGATGGTGGAGGGGGGGTAAAAACTTGTACAAGTTGAATAGTCTCTCTTGGAAAAAAAGTTCTAAAATGAGTACCATGTATATATGAAATAGGCTTACTCTGAAAGTTTTTATACCATTCAGATATCCAGATATGAGTAGTAATGAAAATGGAAAAAAAATAAACACTACCTCTGTTTCAACAAATTTGCAACATTAACATTAATGGATACTACTAATTATTTGCAACAAATGTTTTCTTTCCTTTTTTACTTTTCATTTTTTCTACCTCTCTCATTACATGCAACATTAATTTTATCTCTCCGTTTACCACCCATAAACAAATTTTACCTAGATGTTGGTGAATGTCAAATCATTGCAAATAAATTGTAACACAGGTAAATAAATAAAAAGATGACGCGTGCTCCAAAAGTTACTAAAATAATACAGTCTACAATCTTCTTCTCCCAAAACATCCCATGATAACTTAAATATACTTCACCCCACACCTGGCAAAGGGGATTTATCGTCGTTGGATTCTTGTCTCTCAAGTCTCAAGCATCCAGCCCATACGTAACCCACATCTGATTTTTTTTTACTCTAAATTGTAGGGATTCATTAAATGAGGCAGTAATAGTTATCCACATGTCAGGTAGCATTTTGCCAAACAAGCAATACACTTTCCTAAGTAGTATCCTTTTGGGGGCTCGACAAGTTAGTACTCTGAACCTCAATCTGGATTCTAGAAGTAAAACCAACCCTACACAATCACAATTTATCATTTTGGAGTGCTTAAGACATTGCAGTATACAAATATAGGATAATAGATTCATTTATATCTTATGATGACAACTTCACATCTCACATTCTGCAAATATCAATTAAACTATCACTCTATCAATCTATAAAAATATATGTTCACACCTCACCTAGATGAACACAGCTTGCAAGTCACAACACAAACATAGATTCACAGATCAACAAAGTTGCCAATAAACTTGTAATTTCTTTCTGAAAGAAAAAATGAAATTCAAAAAGAAAAGATGGAGTATGAAAAGTTGAACAAGCTTCTAAACAACCTATCCTTGAGTAGAAAGTTAGAAAGGAAGCACCAAAAAAGCCATATAAACCCAGTAATTTTGAGGTAGTATGATTAGTAATACTATCAAATGTATCAATATGTTTTTTTACGTTCAGTTCTTTCTTTGATTTACCTTCCCAGAAAGAAAAGAAAAAAAAAACTGTAGATTTCTAAAAGAACCTTTCATAATTAACTGTTAAGGAAAAACTAAGTTCTTTTGTTTAACCTAGCGATATGAAATTAAGTTTTCATAAACTATCATGGAATTATTGACTTAGTTTCCAGTTATTCTCCTTACAAGTTTAACAAAGTGGTTCATAAACAATACAAATCACCAAATTCACTGTCAATCTCAGTTTAGATCTGTAGCGATCCACAATTCATCTTGATCAACCCAATTTTGAATCCACTCTCATATGAACATTTTTTGGCAACCTTGGGTAAGAAGCTGAAGGAAACAGTCACCGAAAGTACCACAGAGTTCACATTATAAACAGAACTCAATGCCTCCACCAAATAAAAGGAAAATTGCGAAGTATCTTACAAGGTGATCAGCTTATCACTCATAATTTTTCAAGACTCACCAACTAGCTAATTTCAAATTTCTTGCAAGCAATATGTACATGCAGACTATAAACACTAAAATAAATCATCACAAAATCGAAAAGAAACAAGTAATTAAAAGATGATATGTCTACCATGTAAGGCAGAGAGCCACTTTACCAGTAATTTAATCCTCATCTATCTCTACAGGTTGCACAGGGGCCAGAGGCCCCTGCACACCTCCATTAGTTTCACCAAGAAGTTCACGGGCAGCTTTCTGCAGAAATTCCTCTGCAGCCTCTCGCACAGATTTCATGTCACTTATCGGAGTTTTCCTCTTCTTCTGAATATTCCTCTCTGAGTACTTCATTCTGCCTTCCTCACCCTTACTGATGGCCCTCATTCTTTTTCTCTGCTCTACAAAATCAAAGAAGACCATATAATCAATTTTCAATCAAATTTCGTATGAAATGTTAAAGAAAAAATCATTATCTATGAAGCTACTAGACAGGTCACCTACCAGCGGTAAGATCAGGCAAAGAGTGTTCAATAAAGCGTGTTGCTGCTTGGGTGTTCACTGTAGTGCTAGGTCGCAAGGGTGCTTCAATATACGAAGAAAACAAGATAGCATTATTAATCATTAAGTGTAACTACATAAGGTATCGACAAAACAATAAGAAACGTTACGGATATCCAGCATTGACTTTCCAACATAAAACCAATGCTGCCAACCAACACTTAAAGCAGCAGTCAATACCTCTACTTTTATCCACAAAGCGCTCAAGTTTTTCTTGATACCGGCTCAACCTATCCTAAATAAGTAACCAAAACAAAGAATCAAAAAGTGTAAAAGCTGAATAGCTAAGAACAGATAACTACAGATTTTGCACATCTACCAGAGTAGTATATTCATGAATCATGATTTGCAATGTTATTTCGACAACATCACTGAGACAGGACAAAGGCATCAAATTTGAAGGGAGCAAAAGCAATCAACCAACAAGAATTCATCAATTTAAATACTAATAAATGCTTTATATTCTATACAGAATACATCATACAAAGCACAAAAAACTTATTAACACAAGAAAACTGATAGTACACAGCAAACTTATTCATCCAAATCATCCCAAAAATATATACTTGTATATCCTTATACTGATGTACATACCAATATCATCAAATGCGCAAATTCAGCATTGATTCACAACCAATAAAAATAGAATAAAAATAGTAAAATAAAGGAATGCTTACAAGTTCTCCTTTAATTGGGTGGTGATCAGGGTAAACCCCACTGCACCTCAACTTCACTGTATTAAAAGAAAAAAAAACATGGAAAAAAAAAGGGAACACAATCAAAATGGTCAATTATAAATAAAAACAAGAAGAAATTAACCAAAAATGGGAAATTTGAGGAATTTTCATTACCAGAAAGAAGAACAGAAGTAAGTTTGGCAAGCAAAAGAAGGGATTGAGCTCGCTCCAATGGTGGTAATTGAGAAAGGACTTCAGGGTCAGAAGTAAGCGAGAGAAACTCATCAAAATTTGACTGAAGTTCATCAATGTTAGCCAATGTTGTTCTTACTCCTTCCATTACTTTTTCTGGGATTATATTGCTGCTACTGCTGCTAATTTTATTATCTTCAGCCTCCATTGTTGATTTTTGATAAGAAAAATTCTAGGGTTTGAAGAAAAGGGAAGAGGTTTTATCGATTAAAGGTTAAAGATTGGATTTTTCTGTGAAAATTTGATGTTTTTTGCACATAATTTTGAGCCGTTTTTAGGGGTTTTCAAGGGTTAAAATGGTTTTAATGGCGGCATGAATTTATAATAAAGTCGAAAGATTAATTTCAGGCATAATATTACATCATGTATTCATATTGTACCTCAGCTTTCTTACCTGAATTTGTAAAGGAATGTCTTTGCCAATGAAGGCAATTTCTATTTAAGTAGTATTTATTTTCCTAAAAAAAAATTATTAGGCAAGGAGAAAAACTCTAACTTATCTTCAACTCCTACGGTGTGTTTGGTCTAGTATTTGCGGGTTAAACACTTTAAAAATGAGGGAGGGAGGGTAAGTAATTCTTACTCTCAAAGTTTTCCTAATAAGAATTGAACTCCCAACCTTAAAGCTGGTAAGTACAATCTTTCTCACTAGATTAAACTTAGCTTGATATGGAGGCAATTTCTATTATAAACTCGAGTTTAGTGAATGTACAAGATATGTGAAAGTGATTAAGTGGCACATGTGTCACATTACTTGATTGTATCACCCGATCATATAGGTTTGATGCTCAGGTGGTGAAATAGTCAAGTGTTTTGATTTGATTTAACCGTCAACACTATGAATTTAAGGTTGAAGTTGTTAGCAACAAATGCAACACATATTAAAATACCCTTTGCTAGTTAAGCATACTTGTTGTGGCGGTTTGATATAAATTTCATTTAATTTGGAAGTTTAAGGTAACTTGAATTGCTAACAATGATTAATGTCAATTGTAACAAGAAGTTTTTTTTAGGGTGATATAGTTTACAAGAGAGCATAGTTTGCTTAACTTATACTTTGTAATTTCTTAATATCTTTTTTTTTTTTTATTTCATCATGTATGGACTCGAGACTATGGTGGCAGAGTGTATACATCGGTTAAAGTTGAACATATAATTGTAAGGGCATGGTCAACCTATTGGGTAGGGGTGACCATGCCCTTTTGGTGAAGTTGTTATTGAACTTGAGATTTTCGAACATGGTGTTGACAATGGTGGAAATCGGGGGAAAGAGGAGGAAGCTTCAATGAAAGATGGAGGAAGGAGATGGATTCATTTTTTGGGTGGGTGTGTACAAACACCATTGTAATACTTTGTCCTATGTGTTCGAATATATAGGTTATTAACATGGATTTTAATTTACTACCCTTTTTTTTTTTTTTTAAGCATAATTTACTACCCTTTTAATAACATGAGAATGTCCTTTTTAACTCTAGATATGTTTTATTAGTCAATTATGAAGATAACTTGTATTTTATCAAAAAAAAAAAAAAAAAAAAAACAAATTCTTACGAGTAATTTAACATGAATTTATGATCAAACATGTTATTTGGAAACCTAAAAAAACCAAACAGAAAACAAAAGGAAAAAAAAAGGATAATGAGTGCACAACGCAAAATTCACACCATGAATGCACGATGCACCATTTTCCTTGGTTGATTAGTTCATTCACAAAATGGACCCCACAACCAAAAATGTCATAAAAGGGCATTTTAGTAAAGTACAACCAAATGTAGTTGCCTTGATAAAATAACATTACCAGCACCAGGCCACCATACCAAATCTCACATCACAAAGAATACAAGTGTACAACATTCATTCAAAGCTTTGCCCCTATTTTTTTATGGCCCCTTTCAAACCAGGAAGATAACAAGTCATATGCATTTTTGGCAACCATCCATAAAAATACAACTTTTCCCCATTTTATCTTCTACCTTTATTTTTCCTTTATTTTTTTAATTTTTGTAATTTCAAGTCCTCTATATTATACTACTTTACAAAATTAGGAAAAAAAAATGAGAAAATTAAAAGAAGAAAATGTTGGAAGCAGGGGAAAAAGAAAAAAAAGGAAAGAAAGAAGGGATTTTTATGGAAAGGGGTGGAAAAATCATGGCTTTCTTCTAATGTCCTCCAAACAAAGATAGAAAGAAAGAAAGCATTATTTTGTATTCTCTCTCCTCTCTCTTTCAAAGATGAAAACTTTAATGCCAGAAATACCCTTTGTTTCAGGGATTTTTTCCATCAAAGTTTCCATGTTCATCACAAACCACCAACTCTCATTTCCAATTCCAAAATTCCTTGTTTTGTGAGGATGATGAGGTGAGAGGTGAGGTGGGGAGTGGGGTGGGGGCCCTTTTTGGGGTTTTCACATCTCTTGCCATTCAATGTTTCCACAGAAAGTGAAGAAACTTCAGCCTTCTTGCCTGCCTTATTACTATCCCTTTTCACGCTAACTCTTTCTCTTTCTCTCTCATCTAATACCCTCCTTTCTCTTCTATTCTTTCCTTTTCTCTCTCATTAAATCTTATCTCTCTCCTCTCTGTCTTTTTCTTCAATTTTATAGGGTTTGTTCTGATTTGGGTTTCTTGATTTTTGGGGGTTTCTGTTGATTTGGGTTGGTGGGTATTTGATTCTGTAATTCTGATTAGGGTTTGTTAATTTTTGGGTATTTTTGTTGATTTCTGTGGATTTGGGTTGATGGGTATTTGATTTTTGAGCAAAAGGGTTTGTTCTGTTTTTCTGATCAGGGTTTCTTATTTTGGAATTTTTGTTGATTTGGGTGGATGGGTATTTGATTTTGAGCAAAAGGGTCAAAAGGGCTTTTTTTTTAGTTTTTATTTTTTGTTTTCATGGATTCTCGTCGATCAAGTTCATCTGGTGATCAGGAGGCTATAATCAGGGTAAAGCATCAGTCTTTGTTGCAAGATTACTTGGTCTTGCAAAAGGTTTGTCCTTATTTCTGTATTATGTTTTAATTTTGCTTGGATTATATGATTTTCTTGATTTTTTTTTCTTTCTGACTTTGTGGAGTTTATAATAGTATGATTATGTGGGCAATTTTGATTTGTGTGGAAACTTTCAAGTTAATTGCAGTCGGATTGATTTAAATTGATTTGATCACAGTTGAAATTTGTTGGGTTTGATGTAATATAAGCTGATCACAGTTGGATTTTGTTGGGTACTACACTATGTATGATACAATTTGAGTAAATTACTGTCGAATTTTACGGGGGTGTGATTTAATTTGGGTTGATCATAGTTGAGTTTTCAAGATTTAGATTTAATTTGAATTAATTTATGTTGAATTATCTGGGGTTTGATTTAAGCTAGTGGATTGCAGTTGAATTATATATGGTTTGATTCAATTTGAGTTTAACTCGGTTTTTTTATGCTTATACTACGGAGGATGATAATAATTGTCGAAAGTTGGAAGGTGATGTGTTGATTTTGCTTTGATGATTATATCGATTATTGTATTTGGGTTTTTATGCTTAGTAAATTGTGAAATTTTGTGTGGATTTCATATCAGCAAGAATCTAGTTTCGTCAAGGAAAGTGCTGATTTATTAGTGTTGGAATAAAGTGTGGGGATTTCTATAATAATCTTTGAGATATTTCAAAGATTTTCTTCATTTTGTTTGGTTAGATTAATCAACTAACTAGTTCATTGTTTTCTTTGTATAGGAATTTGTAACAAAGAAGCGAAAGCTGAAGGAAACAAAGGAAAAGAAAGAGACCCTTTTGGATGAAGTCAGGTAATTTTGTGTTAAACAAGTGCTTGTTTGGCAATCACGTTTTCTTTTTAGAAATATGTGTGAATGGTGGATTAGCAATCCTAGTAATGGTTCTCACGAATGAGCTATTATACTTTCTTCGATGATGGTATTGTGATTATGCAGTGGCTGATATATGGGTAGTCGAGTAGGGCTTAAACATGCTGATGTCAGAACTAATATATGATTTTGCACTTGTTACTTTTCCATAGACTTCCCTTACTATTAAGGTTCCCAAACTAACAATTACTATTAAATTTCATTTGAATTCAGATTCCTGAGGCGGAGACGCAACCTCCTGTTGAAGATGCAATCACAAAATCCAGAACAACAGCAAGATTTCGCTCACTCCCAAAAAACACATGCTAATAACGAAGTAGGAACAAGTGGAAGACATGCTAGTACTAGTGATCCAGCTTTGCCAAATTCACATCTTGCAATAGGTTCTATATGGAATTCGGTAAGTTCCTTGGATTTTTTTGATGATCTCTCTGTAATCGACATATTGGTCTATTGGATATGCAGCAGGATGTTTTGGGGCACAACATGATGCCTGATTTGTGCTTTCTATTGTAATGCAGGGTACCCTTGCTAAAGAGGAGGTGGGTTTTCCATCAGTGAAAGTGGGGAAGAAGCCTAAGGACTTGTTTCCTAATGGCAAAAGAGCCGATAAAAGGAAAATTTCTTGGCAAGACCCATTAGCTTTGAAGGTTTAAGCTTATCACCATCGCTGAGAATACAATTTGTGCAGAGGACCTTATTTGACCTTGTATTAGTGAACCATTCTTTTCTTCTACCAGTAGTTTGTTTTCTAAGAATACATGTAGAGTAAAATATGCGCCTCCCTGGAAATGTTAATTCCTTGGCACCTTATGTATTGAAACTTATAGTATATAAAAGGAAGTTGATATGATAATTGGTTGCCAGATTGTATTACTATGTAGTTTGTTTGTCATAATCACTTCTTTCGTGTTTTTCTACACCTTCCAGGCTATGGTGACTACTTACACTGTAGTTTTTGGCACAGCATTCTAACAGATTAACAGATCTTACAGTGTTTTTTTCTTCATTTATTCTGTTTTGGTATTCTACAATGTCGAGCTGCATATTCGCTTGCATAATGGTATACTGATGGTTGCATAAGCAAATGTGATAGTAGGTGATCTACTCTTCACAGCATGATTTCCGATCTTACACGTATACCACACAATCACAGTGGGAATTTGGAAATGTTTTATGGTCATTGACACTAGTAATCTCAAGTTTCACCTGTCTAGCTTTAGGTTGCAGTGGTTATGAGAAAATTTGCCCAAATTGTCTACTCAAGTTATTATGGCATTGTTACTGTGAAGCTTCACATTAGTAGGATCTTGCGATTTTTCCCAAATTGTCTAGTTATTATGGTCATTGTTAATGTGAAGCATCACATTAGTAGGATCATATGATATTATGTACTTGCACGGTTGCACCAATCTCGCAGGCAAAGTGCCTAAGTACAACGATCCCCTTTTCCCTTTCCACAACGCCCCTGATTTTTCATCCCTTACAGAACATACAGTATGAATGAATATGAAAGCAGCATCCTTTTAATGACAACATCCTGAAGCTATTCTTGAATGTTCTTTCTAAAATTTACCTCAGGTCGCGCAGAATCTTTGTACTAGTCAAGTGCTATGTTAGGCTATGTATGCACACCCAAATATTGACAGTGTCAGAGGCTTGTTTTTGCATAGGTCGGTACCTGATATACTAAATTGCCATTAAAAGGGGTATTTAGAGATCAAGTGCTGAATGTTGAATGTAATGCTCAATTGTTTCAGATTCTGATGTTCCTAGATTGTTGAGTAATGTATGCACACCTGAATATTGACAGCGTCAGAGGTAACCTGTGTTATTAAATGGGTCTGTCTAGGCTATCAAGATCTTAGTAGAAAATTGAGCGAACTAGATAAGCAAGTGCTTTCACTTAAACCTGTATGAATTACTAGGCTAGTAATTATAAGTGGGAACTGGTAACTCAACAAATAGCAAGAAGACTATTATATTCCAAAACAACTGCATTTCTCTGTGATTCCTTCTTATTGACAACTACGGAGTAGTTAGAAGTGCCAATTGCCGTGAAATGGAAGCATATTTCCGTGGCCAAAGGTAGAAACCTTTGCTAAATTCTAAATAAAACAGAAAAAAGATAAGAGCAAATATACTGAGAAATTTCTAACTACCTTAAATTAGCTTTTTGCTCTGTTTAGTTCACCACTGTCAGATCAATTTTTGTTCCCATATTGCTCAACATTCTACTGCTGCATCTTGGGAACCTTGCCCACCTTCTGATGCTTCTTTCGGCACATTTGACACAACTATGAGACCACCGCCAATCTCTCGTAGTAATTTCATGTGTTTACTACTCTTTCTGTGATTAGCCATTGTTGCTTCATCGTAAGTTCCTTCATTGCACATCTTGCAGTGCCATAACTTCACAGGTTTCCCATTCATCTCCTGACTATGACCACTTTTTTTCAATTCTTCTGTCTCTGCTTCATCCCTATCTAATCCAATCTTCACAGTGTTCAGTGTGTTGACTTTTTCTTGCTCACTTGCTTGGCTTTTGCCTGGCTTCGTACTTGCATTAGTTATTTCTTGTTCATTATTGAGGCCCTCCTCGCTCTCCAAGCTCTTTTCTCTGACAACTGAATCAGAATCCCCATTACCATCCTCTTGATGAGCCAACCCTGCCTTAGCCTTGTGTTTTTTTCCTTGAAGATGATCATTCAAGTTTTTCTCTGATGCAGCCGATACTTGGCATAATGAACAGTACCATTTGTGTATGTTTTCATTCTTTCCCTTTGCTGGTTCAGCACGCATTCCTTGACTAACTCCAAGCCTAGCCTCCTTTGCTTTGTGCTTCTTTCCTTGGAGATGACTATGTAGGAGTATCTCAGAAGTAGCAGATATTTGACACAAAGAGCACTCCCATTTTGTGGTAACTTGGCTCTTCTCTTCCTCCATCGGCTGCACATTGCTTTTTTTCTTCCTCCATTGGCTGCACATTGCTTTTTTCTTCATCCATTGGTTGTTCTTGATTTTGCTCTTCCTCCACAGGAAGCACATGGTTTTTCACTTCCTCCTCAGACTGCGCCAAGCTTTCTGCTGCTTGCTTCATAGGCTGCTTTGAATTCTCAACGGAATTATTTTCCGTGCTATTAATGCTGGCTGTGTCGCCAGATTTAGTCGCAGCTTCCTTTGCTTTGTGCTTCTTCCCATGTAAATGCAGATTCAACCCTCCTGCTGATGTAGCAGAAACTCCACACAAGGAGCAATTCCATTTCTTCTTCTGCAAGTCCTTACTTGCAACAGAAGCAGTCTCTTCGTCACTTACAGGTACTGATGTTTCAGCTTTCCTTTTTATGCCAGAGATGCCTGAACTAGGCATAGCCTGCAGAATGATGATAAAGAACACATAATTGTCAAATGTCAATGAATTAAACAAAATGTAAATTGCCAAATCAAGGAAACCGATGGGAACATGGGGCTATGAGGAGGGAATCAAGACCAATCAATTAGCTATAGTCGTAGGTAACCAACAACACGAATAAGATATTGCTAAACGGCAATCTATTCGCTCACCAGGCAGTCAGCCATAATGGAACATTAAGGACTGAAAGTAGGAGAAGTCCAGAGACTGATTAAACATATTAATAAACAAGAATGGCAACAAAAGTTGAGATCTTGAGCCATCCTGCTGCATAAGCATACGAGTTTCGGGCTCGTAAACAATGAAGCACTTAATCATTATGAAACACCACCAAATATATCATTGCCAATAAAGATCATCTAAAAGACTGTAGCTCCAGAAAATCAGTGAAATATCTTAAAAGCAAAAGCTTGTATGTATGTGTGTTAACTTCCAATAAAATAGACCACTAAATCAACATTAGCAGTTGCACATAAATGTAATTTAATAAGCTTTCTTAATGCTCATATTAAGAAATACTTCGTAAGAACTAAAAGTCCTAACACAGCTTATGATCAAACCAAGCCAACTCAACATGCGAGGAATTTTGTTCAGTCTCCGGATAGAATCATTTTATCCAAAATCAAGCAATCTTTTTAAATAAAAATTCCCTATATGGTTTAAGAAATCTCATTAACACTTCCCTCCCTCCCTCCCTCACACACACACACACTTAAACAAAACATAAAATTGCCATTGAGTATGGTAATTCATCTCGGAGATAGATTTATCGTTTCTTGTCAAAGTCATCAACATGCATGATGCATACTCTACTTGCAACCCCCACCCCCTTCGAAAGTTCAGAGCTACAACATTACGGCAATTCAACCCTCATAGTACTTAGCCAGAAAGAATCACATTACCACATCATATAGAAGCCAACAACAATAAACAACGCAGCAAAAACAAAGAGTACAATTGATTTCCAACAACATTCCAATGCCTCAAACAATCATACAAAACACAACCTCGATTTCGAGCTACAAACAAATCAAAACTAGTCACAATGGTAACAAAATTTCACCTGACCCAACACTTGCTGTTCATTCCCACCAAAATCAGCCATAGAATTTCCTGCAAACTGAGCACCAACCAAACTCGGGTGACGTTCAACAGGCCATTTCCGCAAAGCAACATGATCATCATTTAACACATTACTCTTAATTTGCAATGAATCATCATCAATTCCACCAACCAAATTCATTTTCTGCCCAATTTCATCAACAGAATTCCCTACATTAAGCAAATTATTATGCAAATAAGACGATCCGCCTCGAAAACCCGAAAACCCTGATGAATAATTCATTAACATATAAGGATCAACACAATTAGAATCCCTATAAAAACGCCTCATACCCATGATTTCTTCCTCCATCATAAGCTCCATTCTAACCTCGGCTTCGAGTTTTCGACGCCCAATGATCTCAGCAGCAATGATCTCTTCCCTAATCTTCTTCTTCTCCTTATCTATCTCTAGCTCTACTGCATCCATTAACAATGAATTCTTCCCGCCACTATCTTCTTCATTCTTCACTGGAATTTCCCCTAAAAAAACACATTATTTATAAGAATATTATAAAAAAAGAAGCTTAAAATAGAAATATTTTAACAGTGGTTTAGCAAAATGTCCAGAAAAAGCTTAAACTATTAAGATAAATTTATTTTTTGGGCAAATTTCTGTTTAATCTTGGGGTTTAGCAAATTTCTGGGATTTCAATTTTTTATTTTAATGGGGTTAGCAAATTATCAAGAACAGATTGAAAAATTTAAATTTTGGGAATCTGGGTTTTTAGGGGTTTAACAAATTCAATTCAAAAATTGAATTACAAAAACTAACCTTGCATGGGCAAATTATGATCAAACAAGAATGTGAGAGATGATGAAATTGAATTGGGTTTTTTCTCCTTGAGATATTGAATTTTTATGAATTATAATTTGGGGGAAATAACAGAGGAATTTATTAAGGAAAGAGAAACAGAGTGAATGGATGAACTGACTACTGAGGGAGTGAAGAGTTTAATTGAGAATTAATTGCACACAATTAAATAAAAAATAAAAATAAAAATAAAAATAAAGAATCGAATAAAATTTTATTTTTTGGAAGGAAAGAATCGAATAAAAAAATTACAACATCCCAAAAAAAAATTAAAAACACTTTTTGTAGGCACCAAAAACTATGTCACTTTTATCAGTTGCCTTTTGTAGTTTTGTTGTTCGCAATGCATGTATAATGTTGTGGATCCCACACTCCCAAATTGTGTATTTTTTAATGCAAAGTACAAAGTACTTTGACTGTTTGTCTTGATAACTCTATTTTGCAATTTTATGTTTTGACTTTTATTCAGTTAATTTACTTGATTAAACTAGTTTAGCTTGAACTCAACTGAATAATTCTGATCAAAATGTAATGAAAAGGAACTGATCATTTTATTTATTTTAATGCAAAAAGGAAATGATCATTATATTTGCCCTATTTCATGCTAGTTTGAATTGAATACACTAGTGATGTATTACATATTTTTATAGAAAAGAATGCTCTGTATGTTATAAGCCATAAATTGGAATTTTAATAATTAGGTGTTGTTTATTTTACCTTATTTTTACTTATATGATATTCTAATATTAATTTATTTTTTCTAATCTGATCAGATTGTTTGATCTGACTAAATTTGACATATGTATGCTCATTTATAAGGAAAAAAAAATACTCTCTAAGTAAAAATAAGGTGAGCTAAACCTAGCTTTAGCAGATCTCGTGGAGCAATTTATTTATTATGTGAAATAAGGAGTTAAATTTTATAATATTAAGTGGAGTCCATTGAGCAATTTAATATTAATGGATCATTTCTCACTAATTGTTCAAATTCATCTAAAACGAATAAAAAGGGATTAATTTGAAATGAATGGAATATCTAGTTGTTGAATCCATATGTTTTTATAGCATCAACTCTATGAATTATACTTCGTATTATTTAAGGATAACCAAATGTATCAATAGGGAAATCATTACATAGTAAAATATTATGCATTGTCAAACATCAAAGTCAAATTGTTGCAATTATTTTTTTTAAAAATGGAAATATTAGTGAGAATGTACGGTCAAAGTTAATCAAGTTTTATGGAAGAAAAACAAATGGAACAAAGGGGTTATTAATCTAGAATTCTAGATAATTGGGCATCTAAACTTCATTATAGTTGTACTACAACACAAATTTTGAAAAGTTTATCTCAAAAGAGAAAAATTTGATCGCTCATTTTCCACCATAGGATGAGGATTTGATTCTTATTGGGTGAGGCGGATTAAGATGAGGATTCGATTCCAACTTATTGATTCTTTTGCAAGTATATATTTATGATTTACTCAATTCCAGAAAAGGTACACTAAAAAATTTGAGTGATAATTCAGCATGTTAGAATGAGAATCCTTGGGGTTATAGGGTGACACAGTCCATAGAATAAACTTCATGCTTCGGATAGGAAAAAATGGTGTAGAAGTTTGATCTTTAGTAGTCTAGCTGGCTATCGCTAGACTCACGACACAAAGAACTATCAAAGGTTTGACTACGGCCTTGTTTGGGAGTTAGCTTTTAGAGGTAAGCTGATTGAATTAGCTGATTTGACTAGCTAATTGTGATAGCTGATTTGACTAACTGATTATATTAGCTGTTTGTGTAAAACTGTTTGGTAAGTAGCGGTTAGCTGTTTCAGAGATTAAATAACCAAAAAGCTATAAGCTCTTCCAAAAAGCTCCTAATATGAGCTTTTTGAATCCAAACCTCTAACTACCAAACAACCCAAATTTAGCTTTTCGAGTTGATCAAACCTCTCTTTCCTCTCAAACCTCTCTTCTTCCCTCAAACCTCTTAACTCCCAACACCCCCTACGTCTAAGTCTAGAATTTCATGGTGTTTCTTCTTCGTACTCTATAACCCACGCCACACTCTAGCTATTCATTTCACCTTAGGTACCCCGTGTAGATCATCAATGCCATAACATGGGTATGAATGCTTGACATTTTTATTCATGGAAGTCTTCCTAATTAGTCAAGTCTACCACTTTGGACACTTTGACAGGTTATTACCATATTTATATCATTAAAAAACAGCAGAAAAAAGAGATAGGAGAGAATAACCACAACAAGAAGACATTATGTAGTAATCAGCGTCAATAAATAGTCTGCATATTTTCCTAATCCTGGAAAGAACATGATTTAACACCAAAAATCTGTACATCCTATTAAGCTCCAGTTTTTCGTTATATGCACCATAGAACAGAAGTATATTACCAGCAGTTGAGTCATATCTTCATGTTGAGTCAGCTTCATTTACAACAACCTGAAAAATTAACAGTGAACAATTTCTGCAAGTTATATGTGATGTATCAAATTAGCTCGATCCAGTCTGTTCTGGTTCTTGTTTGGAATTATCAGCTTCAGTCACAGGCTGGCTTGGCTCAGATGGTGATGGCTCCTCATTTGTAGATGCAGGGGCATGTGGTTGTATGGGTTTCTTGAACTGAACTAGGATCATCGTCATGTTGTCACAGCCTTCTCCGCCAGCAGTTGAAGGGGCCAAACACCTGTCCATCACTCTCTCACAAATTGCAGATAGTTTATTTTCCTGCACCGTTCCAACATTGTCATAATAAGTTACAAAGATCTCCCGCATCTATCATTCCAGAAATTCTAATTAGGGTTGGAGTAAAAGGAGTCACTGCTTGAAGAGTAGTTATGGAATTTAAAGTATCATGTAAGATGCAACCAAACTTGAATTTTGGAAGATACAACATTTTGAATTTATAAACAATTGTGCCAAACAGTTATTAACTTACCGTGCTCAATTGTTCATGTACAAAATCAACAAGCTGCTGGCTTGACATGCAGTCCCTTTGAACAACCAACAGAGTAATCAGTCTTCATATAGTAAGAGTTGTAAGGGAGGGGAAAATAAGATTAAGAGTTTTTTAATCAAAAAATAAAGCAACAATGCACCAAGTGAAAGCTAGCACATTATCTGTTGCATATTTGTCAATTAACCAACATCGATATCAAGCATAAATTTATATCCATCAGACAGGGACTTAATGAGGATGTATAAAAGAGAAGTTGCTTAAGATGTGGTTATATCCAAACCAAACACGAACTAGTTACATCCTTACAGCATATAATTGCAGGAAGAGTAAGTGGCTATCTAAGTTGCAGGGTGGCATGAAAGGATTAACTTGTACACCACAGCTCATAAAAATTAAGGGAAGGCTTAAATGCTTACCATATGCCATCACAAGCTAGCACCATAAAATCATCATCATCACAAAGTTCAACCTAAAAGGACAAGGAACAGAAACAAGGGATTATCAGAGCTCAGGTGGTTGGAACTTGTAACTATAAAGGAGAACACGGCAATACAAAACAAAAATGATGGCAGACATAACTTAGTTGTATTCGAGAAACTAACCAGACGAAGACATAGCAATTACAATTTACAAATATAAACGTACTGCAGAGATATACTAACCACATTAATGTCAGGATTTGCTGTTACAATTTGCTTTTCAACGGGAAGAAATTTATTTTGCTTGAACTCCATGTCACCTGTCCAAGTGAACCAACTTATAAAATTAACGAAAATTCATATCTGATATAATATATATTTTATCCAAGTATTTCAATCACTCTCTACAGGTGTAATTGTGATCTAGCAAGCTTAACTTAAGCTTTAGGTTAGGTCAACTGCAACTGCAATTTGAACACACTAAGTAACTAGAATCAAGCTCGACCTAAGTGACACTGAACTCTAAAGTACACAAGAGGGTAACTAAACAAACTGTTCGGTGACAGAGTTGATTACTTGTTATGAAGTAGTTAAATAGCATTATGCTCTCTTAGGATACAAAAATTTCATTTAATATTCTGGAATTTGGTAAATCTATCGTTTGGATGTTCAAATAATTTCAAATCTGGAATAATTATTAGATGCTCTTAAACAGCATTTAGATTAAGGATTTGAAACGAACATTGATTAAAAGTTGGTAATTGTTAGCCCACATCCGAACCCACCCTTCTCTGTATTTGTCTCTCTTAGTTATTTGTATTACTGAAGCTGATGAATGTTCTCATCTCCTTTCTCTACATATTCCTTCGTATATATCATCTCCTTCAACCTCCAACAAAGTAGAACACCCACGAGAAGCAGAGTATGGCGTCAACTGTCATATATTAGCACTTGCAATTTATTTATTCCAGAAATATAAATTCTAGTCTTTCCCAAACAGCAAATTTGAATTAAAAATTGAATTTCCAGAATTCAGACCATAATTTCAAATGAAATACTTGTATCCAAACACTACCTTAAATTCTATGTTTGTCATGTAACAAACTCAACAATATTTGGGGTTTGTTGTTTAGTTGACCTAGGAAGTTGTAAACTACTTTATGCAATTCTAATTTGAAAATAATCTCCATCAAAATTTAAAATTTTCAACTTTTACAGAAAGGAAACCAACAAACCACACCATCAATCACAACCCCTCACCCCCCCCCCCTCCCCCGCGGGGAAAAAGCGGGAAACGCATGAATCATGCTGAAGCCATTCAGTTCAACAAAAATAATATATACACACACAAGTCAAATTTGAGATCAGGCGGGTTCAAACACCACTTAACAGTATTGCTAGTAGCAGAAACATAAAGAAGGATAGGAAACTTATAAGACTCTGGAGTACCATATCATTAATAATCTGATATCAGTACAAGGGAATTGACAAGTTATCCCCCAAAAAAATCGGGCAGAAAAAATTCCAACATCTAAAAAATAAAAAACGCATGAGCTTAAGTACCTATAGCTCTTGCAAGGTTCAGACTGCCATTGACCCGTCCTGCATGGATAAACCCGCCAGCTCTCATTATTCTTTCCTTCTCGGCATCCAGTTCAGGTTTGTGATCTCTAGACAAATTATAAGCCTGTGAATGGTATAGGATGGCTAAATCAAGAAACCAAGAAAATTATACGTGATTTGTTATAAATCAAGTAGTTACAGAATATCAAATTGTCATGTGCTGATGTACTTCTTGGATTCCAGTTTGTTTGCTCAAGAAGTGGGAATATCAAAATATACCTGACCCTTTCTGGAGATTACACAACGGGAATCACCAGCATTGGCCACAAGAAGTTGATTTTCCCTAATTACAGCCACGCAAGCAGTGCTTCCAGAAGTAGGACCAGAAAATTCTGAATGAGGCCCCTGGTTGACATACCAACTAAGTCAAAGCAAGAATAAAAATATAGTAGCATATCAATCTGTAGAATAAGGATATCTTTTGATAGATAAAAAAAATAAAAAAAATCAAATGTTGCAATAGCACAGTAAACACTCTTGCATCCTATGATCACAGATTATAGTCCTTAGACTAGATTTAGCACACATCTGGGACGTTGCTTCATTACATTGCCAAGCACTGGACATTTATCCTTTGTAGAATTTATCTATTTTTTATTTTAATTTTTTATTTCTTTTTTTTTTTTTTTTTTTTGGGGGGGGGGGGTTGTTCTATGACCTTACAAGGGACAAGTTATTGAACATTAATTTTCAGTTAAGAACCACAAGATTGCAACTAGGACAAAGTATGACTGCATGAGACAAATGAGTCATCATTTTAGCAACAGTAAAAGCGATAAATGGAGCACAAAGAAAATACACTAAAAAAAGGATGGACGAATTGATGCACTAAAACATCAATTAAAATCAACAAAGAAGATGTCAAATAGATCAAATCAATTGTTTAAAACCCATTGATTTAAAAAGGAAAAACACACGAGACAAAACTTGTATTGCTTCAAGCCTGAGAAGATCATATTATGATAATTAAAATTCATCAGAAACGAACAAAGGCTGAAAATCCAATCTATAATTCTCCCAAATCTACAAGTTGTTCACTAAATAAGATAACAGTGGCTCAAAACAGGAATATGTTCAAGAGCTCAAGATACTAAAAAAAAAAAAAAGAATAGAAGCAGAAACAAAATCATATATACACACTAGCAAAATGTTTCATAATATTATACTTGTAAACTACTATTTTTGTTAAGTAATACAAGTACCCACATCTTCATGGGCCCAATCATCATCATGCCCATTGCCATCAGCAGCTCTTGGAGACCATATTAGCCCCTCTATCATTCCAGTGAATTTGTTTATTTTATCACCCAGAACAGCTAACTCCCTCCACCCTCTTTGTCCACGCATCATTTCATCCATTCTGATTATCAAAGCACCAACAGAGCAAGTAAAGCAGATGAATTAGGCAAGTAAATAGTGAAAAGGTATCTGAGTCACATAGATTGAGTCATATAAACTACATATGCTTTAAGAAGGTTTTCTTCCTCTTCATCTTGTGTGCTAAAACCTTTAGCCTATCCCAATCAATATGTCCACATTATTAATCTAGATGTTTCTAATAGTGCATATATGAGAATATAAGTGAGCAGTAATGCAGGATATAAGATGGAGCACTAAGCAATGTTGACCAATTGTCAAACAATAATACCATGTTGGCATGTAAATGCAGTTTACTTTTGTTATGACTTCTCAAATGACCTAAAGGCATTGACCAGAGGCATCAAATTGTATGGTACACAAGCATATATGTGAGGCTTTCTCAAAATTTCAAAAAGAACCTTGATCCACCAAAAACAAAGGAATATAGATAATATTAAAGTCCATAATCCCAAAGTAAATATATAATCACCTAAAGAAAGATTTTTGCAGAGCTGTTGACAGGTCTCCAGCAGAATATGCTTCACTCTTAAGCACTTGTTGATGAAGGAACTTCGCACAGAACTTGGCAACTACCTTACCTACAGATATAGAAGATTTGCATGAGAATTGAAATCAATAAATGACGACAAATTCACCAAACAACATCAACCTAAAAAAAGCAGCGTCAAAATAATAACTTCAACTATGACATACATGATAAGCCAAAAGGTAATGGATAATATCAATCAATGAATCTGCAGTCATGTAATTTCTGAGACATGGGAGAGAAGTGGTGAAAAGATTTGAATATTAGAATTTTTAGCAACTGAAAGTCTGGAATATCCATCTACAGGGTCGCCAAGTACATCAAGCCAGTAATTAGTTAAGCAGCTTTCCAACAAATTGGTGCGCTACGATCAAGCCCCAGAGAATAGAGAAGTGAGGATATAACATCAAAAACTGACTTGCATGGTAATAATTTTTGAAGACACTGATCAGTGTACTACAATAATCAGTTTAGAAATGTATTGAAACAATTTTAAACATTTGAAGAGCTTTTCTTTTCGTCTTTGTGTGATAGGCTAATGTATAATCAATACTTCCTCCGTTTTATTTACTTGACCAACATTCCTAAAATGGAAATGTCATATTACTTGACCCATGCTATATTGGTAAGCTTCTGGTAGTTAGATTCATTAAATTACCCTTAGAAAGTGCATGTGGAGACAACAATTCATGTGCTTTCAAAGAATAATAAGGTAAACCATGTGCACAAACTACATTGTCTCTCTCCTCTCCTTAAATATTGAGCCAAGAGCTATGGGTCAAGTAAATAAAAAGAGTAAATATTTCAGATCATCACCGCGTTTTAATAATTCATCACAAACAACATTTTCCTGTAAGGAAAGAATGATTGAATGCAAAAGGCTAGCAGGATCAGACCAAATGGGCTTGCTGAAAATAAGAAAGGATTATCGTCTTATCATACCATGCAAACTAATAACAGGTTAATCTACATCAAACACAAATCATTGATCACAGATTGTATAAGCATACAATTTGCAAATAAATCCTCCATAAAGATTCATGATAACATAAGTAACAAGATGATTTCATAAAATGAATCTTCTACGTAACCTATTAAAACAAACACACCCACAGTTCCAACCACACATATTAACTCTTATGGAATGTCAACAATCAACATATACAATTAAGTGTTAACTGTCAACAATCGACACAGTCTTAACTCTAATGGCAATGAAGTCGAGGTTGATATAAACCACATATATAATACGAACATGTGCGACTCCTGAAAGAAATAGAATAAGCTTCCACTACTTACCTCCGTGACCATCATAAACGCCAAAGAATGAAGTCGAATCATCCAGATCGGGAAAGGCAGCATGCTAGAAAAACAGATTGCGAATTCAGTCAAAAACTATTTAGAAGCAATATCCCAGGATGAAAAAGAAGTTCAATTGGAAGTGATTTAGAGAGATCCAGAAACAAGCCATGTATCAGAGATCTTATATACACTCAAGTTTTAACAAGGAAGTAGCCACTTTCCCCTCATGATAAGAAAAACTCACACCATGAATATTTAGTGGGCTAAATCTTGAAAGAGTGGAGTGGGATGGCATAACCAGAGATTGTAATTTTTTGACATGTTAGGCGAGGTAGCAAAATTATGAACATCACTAAAAAGTAACAATATGGACACAAAGATCAGATAGAACCGTAAGGATATGTATCTACAAATAGACTAATTGACATATCCTGTTTCGCAGCATGAGTAAAAGGAATTTAGCTATTTAGGAAAATTTCACAGCTCATTCTACTAGAAATCAGTCCTTCATTGAAGGAAGAAAACCTTCATCAATCCCAAAACAATTGTTGTCCATTCTTTTTAAATCATCTCATTTAAATGTCCACTAATCCTCTTTGGCAATAAATGCATATTGACCCAATCACCTCTCTCTACCCATCTATCTCATCATGTTGTTAATTTAATCACCCAAATCAATACAGCTTTGCAAAAAGTTGAAATAGGCAAGTTACTATGTGATGGAAGAAAAACTTGTGTCCATAATCTATTATGGAAACCATTATCCTATCAAACTTAAAAAAACTCAAATACCTTAATGTCATCATTCTAGCAGTACTTGCAGCTAAGACATTTCAATCAATCAATCAATCAAAGCCTTAATCCCATAAGTGGGGTCGGCTAACATGAACCAAATTTGATTATTCCGTGGGCTAATGCAAATTTGATTATCCCACAAGACATTATTTCCCAAATAGAAATGAGAAGAGTCAACCATTACCTGGGCTAATGCAAACTTGCACAGTGCAGAAACCAGTCAGAAATCAGTAAGACTAGGATGTTAAGGATCCCCTCGCCCCTACCCCCCCCCCCCATACACACACAAACAGAGAGAGAGAGAGAGAGGGGGGGGGGGGGGCTGGGGAAAGGACAGTTTTAATGTCAATCAGTTTAGCACATTTGTATCACAGACAAGCATGATTGAACAGAGTCATGATCAGATTGGTGACTAAAGGGTTTCTGGGATTACACAAGAACAAGTACCATAGCAAAACTGGAACCAGACTATAGTTTAAGCAATCCCATTCTTTTAAAAGGTTACATTATACTAGATCAGGCTTAAATTAATTTAGAATTTCTCCCTTGCTAATGGCTGGGTTAGGGTGATATTAACTTGCACCTCCTCCATTAATGAGGATAAAGAAGAGGCCAGCTGCAAAATAACAGCTCAGGTATAGCAACCATATAATTCACCGTCTTGCAATCAACTAGCAACAATGGCTGACCCGATAATAAATGAGGAGCATCCTAGATTAACCCCAATTTTGGGTCAAGTAGACTTGAGGCCAGCGGTTTGTCGTAGTGTTGGACCAGTCAATAACAATATTGAACAAGCTATTCATGGTATGAAATTGAGTAGTAGGGATTTTCTTCTGAATTTGGGAGGAAGGGTTCAGACAATACTGCAGGTCTTAGTGTCAAGTGCTGCAGTACATCAGAACTTAAATGTCAGCAATCAGGACAGGATCAGTAGGAGGCTGAAAAGTAGAGGGATTGAATACTACAAAAAAAAAAACTTCCTAGATATCCTTGGTCCAATCTATTTGGGGATTCATACCTGCATCAAAGGAAGTTACCCATGGTTTTGTGGCACTTGTGATGTAATACGTGAAGAAATTTGCACAATTAAGAGGAGCTCGGTTAGATGGTTGAAAAACGGAATGCTTCCATTGTTCTGTTTGTTCTAGGTAGGGATCCTACGGTTGCTGCTTTTAATCATTCCATTCATAGCTTCTAATTGGAACTTTTTCTGCTAAACAAGAGGTATTCCTTTATGTTGAAGGTTATTTTGTTGTTCACTTTCAATCTACGGATGACAAAATGCAGTGATTTACTGAATACAGCATAACTTCTTCTCAATACCCATACTTGTTAAACCATGGATGGCTAGGTTATGAGAAAATGGTGATTTCAGTATGGATATAGCTGCCTAACTTGCCTCACCACTATTTCAGTGCTGATAAAAGACTAGAATAAGTAGTTTACTAGTGCTAGTGTTCCATTATATGCTACTGAGAACACATCTAAGCAAATAAGGCGGTATTTTACTCGATTGTTGGCAAAAATGGATGTTAATTTTTTAGCTTCTAGCATTTGGATTAAAGATCCTTATAGTGGCCTGCAGGAACAGCAAGGTATTACAGGAAGCCAACCAATTTTAAAGCTTATTCATTGGTTGGTCATGACTTTGATACTTGGATGCTTCCTCAGCCAGCATACTATACCCAGAACTAATGTGGTTCCAAAAAAATAAACACAGCCAATTAGTTGAAAGAAGTATGTATCATTGTTTGTGAATTCTACCACTTCACCAAATCAATCTATCCCTCCCACAAGGGCCACAACCTCTATCCTGCAGCAGGGTGGAAGTTTCCAGACTAAGGAAAGCAGCCTTTTATCTATGTGAAAAATCCTTCTCAAATTTCTTTATGAGAATGAAAAAGTTACTGATAGTGAATTATATTAGGAAACGGGTAATAGCCTGCAAGGCCATGATGAACAGGTAATCCCTGGCAACAATACTCTCATAAATAATATATGTGTTCTTCGAATGTAAGAGGATTACTTGATCCTCAATAGTAACTTAGTAAGTGGAAGTTAAACATTCTCAGTCAAAAATTATATACTCCCATATGTTAAATGTATTTTAGAAGCCATAGTGAAACCTCATAGGAAGGATAAAACCAATAAGAAATTTGGTGTGTTAGGTGTTTCATCATATGCTAACAGCAATCATTAAAATAAAGTACATTTGAGATATAAGGATATTGCAAATAGTGTCCATTCATCACATAGACTCATGCATTTAGTACTTCAATAAGCTATATGAAACCTCTTTATAACAGATACTTTGTATAACTTAACACTAAATTGCTCATCACAAAACAGATTTATAAAGATAAGCTACTCACAGCATCTTCCATGGTCGTGCGCCAACCTTGCATGGAAGACAATCCAAATTTAACCTTGCTGTTTTCACCATCCTCAGAGAATTTCTCAGTCTTAGGTGTGCTAAGGTAGACACCCATCTTTTAGCTGAAACCAAACAAATAAACTCTTAAACTTCAAACACAAAAAATTTCTAAAACCAACTACAGTATCGTCTAGTTCTCAGTACTCAGTATAAAGTATCACATGTGGCAAAGTAAAGGAATATTAAAATCAAAAACAAAAGGCCAAACTCTGGATAAGAGCTCCAAGAATTACATGAAATTATCCCAAGCAAAAGCATTTAGGTTAAAATTACATCAAGAAACACAATAATTAGACCAATTGCCAAACATCTACGTCAAGAAATACAATCATGCACTGAACTCGACTAATTGCCAAATATGTACATAAGAAACACAATAATTGGAGGACCAATTGCCAAATATCTACATCGAGAAACACAAACATGTACCGAACTCGACCAAATGCCAATACCTCAAGAAGCTCAATTTTCTTCTAACTGCCAACTATAAACATCAAGAAACAAAAGTATGCACGGAACTCAACCAATTGCCAAATTTCTACAGCAACTAACACAATTATTCTCTTTTTCAAGTAGAATTACTCGGCACAATAAGGAAGCAACAATAACAATCTCAAACAAGAATGAGCAACAAAACAAATCGACCCATAACACAATTCAGCAAAACTGGATCCACTACAGAAAACCCAGATCAAATTACACAATAAAATCACTGATCTAAGCATAAACAACCTCCATTAGAGCAAATTACAACTGGGTATATCCAAACATTGCAGAATTAAAGAAACCCAGCTAATTAAACTTAAGACTAACAGAATTATGGAAACCCCAATTGATTATACTTTAAAATTACAGAATTATGCAGACCCCAGTTGATTAAAGTTCGAAAAATAGACAAAAAGTCAAAAAATTATTATAAAAATATTAAAATTGGAAATTGGAAAATGAAACTAGGGTATATTACTACTTACTTGACTACTAGAAATGTTGATCAAGTCCAGAAATTAGGAGAGAGAAAGTGAAAAGTTTAGTGTATATAGATTTATAGGACAAGTACCATTTTTATATAATCTTGTATCTACCTATTAATCTATCATTATTATACCCTCGAAAAAGACAGATTAAACAATAAATAACATAAAAAAAAAAATTAAGAAAAAGATTTACAGTTTATCTTCTGAGAAAAGAGGAATTAATAAAATAATTGGTGGATATTTGATGTGATGAAAAGGATTGAGAGTGAAATGGGCCAATCCAGAAAACGAAGAGGATATGGCTGCTGGTTTTGCTTTTGTTTATGGTTTTATACGAAATTTTCTAGGACTACTATCTTTTTCGAGGATATTCTTTTCTTTCTTTTTTTTTTTTTTTTTTACCAAGGTTTTTTGTTGTGAATAATTCCAATAATCGTAGAAAATAATCACAATTACGATTGTTGAATGATACAAAGTATTATACAAACGATTATGGTCGATGAGGTTGGGTTGAGTTTGTGTTTAGAGCAATAATTGAATGATATAGCATATTACACTTACATTGATGGCCGGTTAATAGATCCGAGTGCGTGTTTAGATTGCTACGAGTAGTAATTAGATGGAGAATAATTACTGAATAATACAAAGTATTACACATATAGTACGCTAATATAAGAGCTTGTTTTAGGCTATTAAAGTTTATGGATGGATTGTATCAATGACGTGGAATAATGTTTTATGGATAGTATCAATGAGTTGGCTTATTAGAACAAATCTTGTCAACATCAATATTTCATATTGCGCTCCCTAACAAACAAAAAATATCCTAGAAAAAAAAAAGATTTTTTTAATTAGATTTTTCTTCAAATGTATTTCATAATACTTGTAAATATTCACAATTGTCCTACAAAAAAAAATCCAAAAAGAGAGCCCCAATTTATATATCAAATAAAAGTGATGTGAGACAAAAGGAAGAGGTGGCATTGCTGGCACATGAAACTTAAAAAAAAAAAAAAAGTGGTGAACTGTATACCCTGTAGTCAGAACTAGAATGTTTCTTTCAAGGATCATGCTAAGAAAGAGCCTTTGTGCAAAAAGTAGGCCTTAAAAAATAAAGGCAAATCATCATCAGATCTTAATCACCTGAATTATCCACAACAAATTACTCTAGAAAGTCATCAATCCAATATTCATTCTACTGTGTGAATGATTCATTCAATTTAGGAGTAACTATTTCGATTTAGCTTCGCCAACACCCTAACCTTAGGAATAAACACCGACTACTATATAGAGACGGAAGAAGTATTTCACTTGATTAGAAAATTGGGTGACCAACAAATGAAAAAATTCCAAAAGAATAACACTATCAAAGGGACAATCTGTAAGACTCCCATATAAACTCAAGTCTAACTTTAGTCCCCTGCCAACAACCTATACGTTTTTCCGTTGGGCTCAATGACGCCACAAACCAGCAGTTTTGACACCCCCTTCATTGTCCGTCTTTTCCCTCCACCTAGTCGTTTCTTCCCATTTACCGAAAGGTGCATACAAGTTATCATCATAATCTCCCTCACTAAGCCCTCGTTCTCTATCCATAATCAGTCTTGCAACTTTCTTGCCTACTTCGATATCTTGATGAATAACACAGGCACTCAGCAATGCGCCTAAGATCCTGTCTCCTGGCTCAAACGGGGCATTGATTCCACAAGTTCCAATGCTTGGTTAAGCAAGTTGGCGCGGCCCAAGAGATCAACCATGCAACCATAGTGTTCCAGTTTAGAGGAAATACCGAAGTCTTTATTGTGCACCAATCCTAAATGACTACACGCACTAAGTATAGCAATGAAGGTTATGTCATCAGGATTCAAGATGTCACATTTCACCACATTGAAGAGTTTTAGTGCTTCAGAAACATGGCCATTAAGAGCAAGTCCTGAAATTGCGTTCTAGCAGAAGATGTCCTTTACTAGAGACTTACACAGCACCTCTAAAGTGCGATTAATGGTCCCACATTTGGCATGCATGTCAACCTATGAAGTAGTAACTTCGGGAGACATGAGATTGATGCTCCAACTCCAGGTTCAAGGGAACTCAGATGAGCACATGCAGCTAAAACACCAGTTACAGTTAACCGGTCAGGTTTAAAATTTTGAGCCTTCATTTCATCAGAGTCCGATAGCATCAGTGTAAAGTACATTATGTAAGTATCCACTTAGCATGGCCATGTAACGATGGTTTTGCTCAGTGCCTTCTCGAATAATATCTGTGCTTCCTCCATACACCCGGCTAGCTTGCATGCCAAAATCATAAAATTCCACAAGGCTACATCTCTTTCAGGGGCTAATTTAAAAAAGCTCTGAGCCAACTCCAATTATCCGGCTTTTGCATACCCTGATATCATGATATTAAATGAAGTAAGCTTAGTTCCAGGCAATATCTTCTTTTAAAGGCATTTTCTCAAATACCTTGTATGCACCCTGAATATCCTTGAAACTTTATAAGTAGTATGCATGTTCAAGAGAGAGATCTGCACACACAGGTAATTGTAGTAGCCACATTTTATTTTTTGCCCATGAAGTCATGAAGAGCATAACCCAGGTCAGCCAGGGAACGTCAACTTGCCGCCTTGAGTAGTAAGGGGAACATGAAGTTATCAGGATACATTCCGCTTTCTCTCATACGAAGAAACGTTGAGAAAGCCAAATCAACATCCCCCTCCTGCATTTGTTTCTTGATTGCTTTATTCCAACTTATCAGGTGGCACAGAGAGCTAAGAACCCCATCTACAAAGTTCAAAAATTAAATTTGTGACCAGAAAAAATCTAATGATTCAGCAAATCAGCAAGCAAAACAAAATGACAAAGGAGACTGAACTGTACACTCAAGACGAAACAGTAAAGTCGTTGTCGTACTTGTTGAAGATAATAAAGCAGAAGGGCAACAAATTCAGACATATAATTTATGAAAGATGCTATTTTTATTTATTCCTTTCACAATAAGACAGATATAGAAAGATGTACAAAACTCATCAGCTTATCTCTAGGAAAAAGGGCAACCCGATATATTGATTCTGGATACAGAATTGAAGCGAATTAGTATGCCACAAATGAAGTGTTAGATCCTCGATACATTGCAGCAGCAAGCAGGCAAGGTGCAGAAATTTAGCTGCTAGATAAGGCAGTTTAACTAAACTTGCTAAGCCAATAAGAGTTTCAAATGCCCAATTATCAGACTTGTAAGAAAAATAAAAAGAGCTATATACATATCATTGCTGTAGTAAAGCCACCCATGGTTTTTATGAAAATTGCAACAAAAATATTTGACTTTTCATTGAGAAAGGGTTGAAGAGTGCAATGCCATTCATCATGAAGCCTATAAATGACAGCGTAAAGTCCACCCATTTTAGTTCTTCTTAACAGCTATCAAAGATGTTTCTTCATCTTTAAGGTAGGCAAGTAAAAATCACAAGGAAAGATAGCTCCAAAACATACTACAATACAATTAGTCATGTTTACGCACTGTAAATGTGATTACTCCAACAAGAAAAACATATGCTGCTTATCATATTTAAACTACTGGCCTTGGAACTAGAATCCCCCACACAAAAAATGGCTAGAACTTGTATAAATTCAATAGTGCTGCTGATGACGAGGACTCTTAGCAATTGAGGAGACACTGTCTACAATTTCATGACCATATTTAGGTTGACGGAGGGGGGTCTACAAATTGCGACTGTATGTAGGCAATACAAGGGCATCCTAAACTCAAAAAATGGCTAGAACTTGTATAAATTCAATAGTGCTGCTGATGACGAGGACTCTTAGCAATTGAGGAGACACTGTCTACAATTTCATGACCATATTTAGGTTGACGGAGGGGGGTCTACAAATTGCGACTGTATGTAGGCAATACAAGGGCATCCTAAACTCAAAAAATGCCCATCTCAATACCCACAAGTTATTGACAGTCCATTTTATTGGCAGAAGCATGTACTCAGTACCCAGCCGTGAGATGGACAACAGTGTCAGTTTGTTTCAAGATAAAAGTACCCACCCATTCAGACATTCAAAGTCTTGGATTACAACACAAGGCCTTTAGACAATTGTAGTTGCTTAAAATACCTGGCAAGTGTAACAACTCGTAATGTCTCAGATAGCATGCACTACAGCATATAATATCAACCATCTCTTAACATTATGACTGCACAATCACTGACTGCCCATGGGAGAGATTGGAGATGAATACTTTTTTACAGCTCTCAAGGCTATGGCCAGCATCTCTATTTCCTGGATCCTGCGAAAATGTCCCATGAACAAATTAGAATGTAGCTTAAACAATATGCAGGGAATAGTCTCTATACAAGAAGTAGATATATATACTCTGAATGAAAAGTTAAACACAGTCTACTATTAGCTACTTTCCATTTTTAGTGTGAAAACATGCAAGCCTTTGGTGCTCTAAACTATGCCAAATGCCCATACTCAAGTTCAGATTTTTAACTTAAACTCAGTCTGAAATCGATACCATAAATTTGCTCCAGAGAGATTGTCCATTTCGTAAACTTTTATCACAGCTTATAAAGTAGACAGTCTTTCAGGGAAAAAGGGAGTGGCCTACATGTACGTAGGCCCCATATATCCCTCAAAACAACGCCAGTAGCCCACTTTAAAAACCCACATATTACTCTGTGTAAACAGGTACTCAACAAAGAGACAGCTATCACCCTTGGGAAAGGGAAAAAAGATAAGTGATTTAATTCAACAAAATAATGATATCATGTGCACCAACTAGTCATCGATACATAGTGAATATAAACCAAAAATAACAGTTCTCGTAATCTTGTTTATGAATGTTGCTACAATTTAAATACCAAGCAAGTCAACGACATGCACATGCTAAACTATATAGTATCTAAAACAAAAACAGAGTAAGCACCATCATTAACTTTATGCACCAGCACCACTCCTTTGTCATATGATTCAATTAAAAATATAAACAAACAAACAACCTATTTCTTTGCACTCACACAAATCATTGCAGAAATCACCAAATAAAATATCTAATGCTTTTTGTACCACTGAATAATTCGACAATATAGAAGTTTCTAGTTATCCTTTTTCTATATATCCATGTTTGTATATTCTACATGGGCATCTTGTTAACATACTACACAAAAACCAAACAATTCAATATTTATCCAATTTCTTAAGGAAAGTATGACATTGCAACCCGCTGTACATAAACAACAGAAATACACATCTCTAATATAACCTTCCCATCAAAGAAAAAACAATTGCGAGACATTTCATGCAGATCTATGCAACCTTTCCCATCACAATATCAAGACTATTGTTAAAACAAATCAGTTACATCAACCATAAGAGCATTAAATCCTCCCAACAAGCAGGTATGTGTATGTTGGTTATTATTGAGGATTGCCACACTAGTGCAATACCCATTATTATCCAACATCATTGGTGTTCATCCATGTTTACAGCAAAAGCACATTATTTAAGTGATCCACCAAGAATTAGGACAACATTAACTTTATTTCTAACCTTCAAATCCATTCTAGGCTGCAGTTCGCTAATTCTTATTTAGAATATGATGTTATAGATGTATGTCACACTCGAGTTCACATTTATAATAAACCCATCTGAGATAGAAACTGACAATGATACCCTTGTTCCAAGAAGATTGTTTAAATTTGTAAATTAATCATCACAGATAGTAAACATATGGGCTCTCCAAATAATGCTTAGCCCACTTAAACATCCACATAAAACTTTTTTGGCCAGTTACTCCAATTAACAGATACTCAAACAAAGAAACAATAGCACCCTTGTGTTCAGGATAACAGGAATAAACCATTAACCTAGTTCTAAATCAATAATGAGATCTATCACCAACTATTACCAATTCATCGTGACCACACAGGCACACACCATGAATGGTATATTGGTATATAGTTCTACCCTGTGAGCTACTACATGAATTCTATTAAAACCTTACAGTTATGCAAGTCAATAATGCATACATGTAAAATAATATATAATCCAATGAAATGAACCAAAATAAGCGCTACGTGTGCACAAAGTCACTTACAAAATTGCCATTATTATCTAGTTCGTATAATATTCATAGGTAGTGTGTATGTAGGCCTTGCACGAGCTTTCTACTCAAGGAGCCCACTCTAATACCCAGGCATTACGTTATGCCAATATGTGGCAAGAGCACAAGTACACTACCATGAGATGAGATTAACTGGATGCTCAGTTAAAAAAGCCAACTCCACCCAATATGGAGTAAGTCATAAATCCAACTTTTGTTGATGTATCAAACTTAAGGGCATGTAGTCATGAATAAGCTATTTCTATATAGTAAATGGGTGTTACTTGTAGGAAGAACACATTCTACATCCTATAACCACATGGGAATGATAGAACCCCCCATGGACAAACTAATTGATTAAGATTTATTCTGATATGTGATTCAAAGATCACCAAGAGAAACAAGCAAAAACTATACAATCGTCCAATTACAACACCAAGAACCTATTGCGATAATAACACATTATAAGCTCCCACATTTCGTTCGATGTCTCTCAAACTTCAATACAAGGACCTTATGCACCACCCCTTTGCATCAATTAACTCAATTACTAAGATATACAAACTATGGCAACTGCAGATTCATCACCAAGTAATTAATTAAAGGCTTTAAATTAGCATGAATAAAAAGATTGACATGAAAATATAATAGCAGTTTCGAATCATCCCTCGTTCATGTTTGTAGGTTCCTTTGAGGGCTAATGAGTGACATTTATGTCACTCTTAGGGGTAGTGTTTAGGTCTCTTTCCTCCTATTTTCTTAGGTTTTTCTACCTCATTTCTCCTCTTATGGCTTCTTTATGTGTTGATGAAAAGTATGTTTATTTGCGCTTGTTATGATAATTTTTATGCATTATTTTATCATCCCCTTGCTCTCGTGATTTTTGATATCTTTTGTAGGTTCCATGGCTGCCCTAAGCACGGTGGGAGGCCCCTTGGCCAAGCTTGGAGGCATGGACAAAGGCAAGAGGAGCAAAAGGGAAGGAGAGGAAGCAAGAAGAGGAAGTGCAAGAGGAGGTGTGGCCGAACCTCTGAAAGGTTCGGTCGAACCAAGGTGTGGTCAAACTTTTCAAAAGTTTGACCAAACTTCCAAGGTGCAAAGGAGGCAGTTTCAAACCAGTTTTCAGCGATTTTGCAGGAGGGGTCGAACCTCAAAAATTCGACCAAACAAGGAGCAGGGAGGTTCGGACGAACCTACCCAGAGTTCGACCGAACCTACCCAGATGTCCGACCGAATCTACCCAGAGTTCGGTTGGACCTTTTCCCGATCTCAGCCGACTTTATACGGACTATTTAAGTTCCTTTTTAGAACGTTTTTGGAGAGAGGAAATTAGCTTAATTTTTCGGTTTTTATTAGCTTTAATTTAGAGAGAAAGCAGTAGAATATTTTTCAGAAAACTTCCTCTTAGTTAGCACCTTAGATCATTTAATTAGTTGATGATTTAGTTTGGAAACTCTCAAATCTAATCATTGTAGAAGAAAACTTCAAGGTTCATTCTCAGATTTTCAGCATTTATTCAACATTTGAAGCTTCAATAGTAACTTCTTTCACTTGTCACTACTTATTTTCTGATTTTATTTTGTTATTGCAAGTCACTTGAATCTCTCTTAGTCTTGATAAATTGTTGTTGCTTGTTAGTTTTATCCATAGTGAATCATTTTTCCCCAATTTTAGAATTACTTAGAACACCAACTTGGAACTTTGCATGTTACTCACAATGAATTGTGAGTAGTCCCCCTTGCTAGGGGTTGGGTGAAGCTCAACCTAATGGTTAATTAAGTAAACTTGGGAGAAGTATTGATGTTTGGTTTGTGATTAAATTGATTGTATGAGATTGCTTGTTAGTTCTTCATGATAGGATTAGCTACCCTTGAATTTGGAGCTTGATGGCATGTTATGCTTAGTTTGACATAGAAATGTAGATTAATTATGTCATTACTTATTGCAATTTGATTATGTATCTCCTATTGCTAAACTAATGAGGGATCTAAGTTTAGGAGTGTGAGTTGTTTTCTAAATTGCATGAGGTTGGTCTTACATATAGTCCTTGCTATCTCTTGTCTCTTTTACCCCCAATATGCTTAATTGTCATGGTTGAGTGGATCCCATGCCCTAGTGCTTTTAATCACTTGATTTAGAACAATAGTTTGTTTGTCTACTTGACGAACCCCCAATCAACACAAGTCTTCGAACTAGCTTGCGTATTAAGATCTTTAGCGATTATATCCCGTTCCTTGTGGACCAAACTCTTACTTATCATTGTGCTTGGTTTGTGAGATGTTTGCTTATAAATGTGTTTGAATGAGTGTGGAATGTGCGACTGTTCTAACACCCATCAAGGGCATCTTGTGTACCACACAAGAAGTCCTCACAAAATCCGACATGTCAATATTTGTCCATTATTACACGAGTGTGCGACATTGCACTTCGCCGTACCATGGACAACAAATCTACATTCTACACAACTTGGCAACAACAATGGATATCATGCAACTAAAAATTAGCCAGTTAAGATTTTTGTTCAAAACTTTAAATCGAAGAATCCATAAGAGCTTCAAATCTCACCCAATCAGCGAATGTGTATATGTTGGTCATTATTGAGGATTGCCACACTAGTGCAATACCCATTACTACCCAACAACTTTGGTGTTCGTCCATATTTACAGCAAAAACACATTTTTTAAGTGATCCACCAAGAATTAGGACTAAAATAACCTTATACAAACTTTCAAATCCATTCTAAGGTGCAATTAACTACTGCTTATATTATATATAATGGCACATAATTATATCAAACTTGAGTTCACGATTATAATTAACCCAGTCCGAAACAAAAGCTGTCAATATCGCTCTTGCTCCAAGAAGATTGTCCATCCATCACATATGTTTTCAGGGAATATACATGTATGTATGCATGCTCCATATGATCTCTCCAAATAATGCACTAGCCCTATTAAACATAACATAAAACTATATAGCTAGTTACTCGAACAAAGAAACAACTACCATCCTAGTGACCAGGTTAAGAGGACAAACCATTAATCTAGTTCAAAAACAATAACGAGTTTCTGTCATCAACTAGTCATCAATTCATTGTGACCTCACACCACGAATGATAATTCTCCTCCCTTGTAAACTATTAGATGAATCTGTTAAAAGCTAAAAGTCGTACAAGTCAAATGCGTACACATAAAATCATATAATCCAATAAAATGACCCAAAATAAGAACTATATGTGCATAATTTAATTCGCAAATTCACTTTTAGCTAGCATGTAAATAGGCCACGGATGAGGTTTCTACTTAAGGATCCTGATCAAAACCCACGCATTACTCTATGCTTTGTTGTAATAGGCATTACACTACCATCAAAAGATACAAAGCTTGGAAGCTCAATAAACAACCACTTATCCCTACCATAAAAGGGAGCCATAAATCAATCCAATTTATGCTGATAAGTTAGCAAGCAATCAATCTATATCAACCACCTAAAAGAACATGTTGTAGTCATGAATTATCAAACTTCCTCTTCCTAATGGTTAGTACATACTTTACATAGTACAGGGGATCTATTTGTAAAAAAATCACATTATATGTCCCATAACCACACAAACACATTCCCCCCACCCCCAAAGGATAAAAGAATCAATTTAGAATTTTCATGATAGCTGATTCATTAGTCATCCAAGCAAAATAAACAAAGTACAGTCATTGCAATCACATCACCAAGAACCTAATGCTGAAATAGCACATTATAAGCTCCACATTTCCTTTAATGTCTCAAACTCTAATGCAAGAACCTTATGCACCAACTCTTTACTTCACTGAACTCAATTACAAAAACAAACAACTATAATTGCAGAAACATCACCAACTATTAGTTAAATGTTTTTAACACCAATAAAAAACATGCCATGAGAATAAAGTTCTAGTCATACTTTCATATGTTCTTAGGTCCATAAAGGCATCCTGAGTATACTACACAGGAAGCCCACATAAAAACCAACATTTCAATGTTTGTCCATTACTACACGAGTGTGCGACATTGCAGCCCGCCGTCCCATGGACAACAAATCTATACACCTTTAACAAAATCTTTTCATCAAAGCAACAACAACAACGGATATCATGTAACTCAAAACTAAAATGTATGCAACCATGTCTATCACAAAATCAAGATTAGTGATCAAGACTTTCAATCAAACACATCACAAGAGCTACAATTCTTACCCAGCGGGCAAATGTATGTATGTTGGTACAAATTGAGGATTGCCACACTACTGCAATATCCATTACTACCCAACAACTTCAGTGTTTGCCCATATTTACAGCAGATGCACATTATTTAAGTGACCCACCAAGAATTAGGGCAATAATTACCAATTACTACCTCAGTTACATATGTGCAACTTTTGAATTTTTTATATCTCACAAATAATACCCTAAAGTTGCACATAATATGTAATGGAGGTAGTATTATGATATACACTTGAACCATTCTAGCTTCCACTTAGCAGAACTTGTAAAAACCAGGAATAATGGAAAACCCACATCAAATCTGGTGTTTCTAAACATATTTGATACATCCAAATACATAACAAATTCTAAACATAACCCCATTCAACAAATCTGAGTACAAATTGAACAAACTGCAATTCCCATACAAAAAACTGAAACCCCACATCAAATCTGGCAATTTATAACATGATTTCGTACGCTACATAATCAAATAATGAAAAGAGAAATGAAACAACCTAGTATAACTTCAACATTGAATTTTTTTATTTAATTTTTTTTTTATATTTTTATTTTTATTTTTTTGATATTGGGTGACAGAAATATTAGTCAAAAAAAAAGGGTGGGAGAATACCAAATGCAGATTCAGAACTAAACCATAGAAAGAAAGCCTTCATTGGAAAAAAGATTAAGGGTTTCTTTCAATGTGGATGGTTCAAGACCTCCATTTCCTGGGATTCTCCAATTTTTCCAAATCAATGCAAAACATGCAAAATCCAGGGATCCAACTAGATTCAGGACTCCCAAAAATTATACTTCATTACTTTGAGTTATTAAATAATGCAATTGTTATGCATGTTATGTCATTGATTAAAAAAATCAAACTTGACCCGGCTCGTTTAACAAGCCTGATAATATAGGGTTGTTACATAATGCTAATTTCTAGCTAAACCAATAAGACCATTTTCCATAAAATAATCCATTCTTATTCTAATTTAATATAAAAATTACAGTGAAATATTTATCTTGACTCTTGAGCATAGAAAATACCTTAATCATCAAAACCCAACAAAATTATCAACCAAAAATTGGATATTCAAATAAATAAGAAAGTAAAAAAAAATAATAATAAACACTGACTAACCTCTACACAAAGAGGTGGAGGAAGAAAGAGGTTTCTGGGGATTCCAGAAACCCTAATTTCCCAAATTGGGCTAATTTTGCTATCATTTGTGGATAGAGATTGCCGAAACGTTACAAACGCTGCAATTTAAAGACTATTAGAGAGAGAATCAGTGATACTCTGTGTAAAGAAGAAGAGAGAGAAAAGGTTGAAGGTGATTAAGTAGGAGCTAACCTCGTAGTTTGCCGCCATTTTTTGTTGCACATTTCAAATTGTTTGCTGGAAAAGCTCACAAGAAGCAGCAAAAGTAGTGAAAGTTGTGAGCTTTCAATTTTTTTTACTATGGGCTAATTGTCAAGAGCCCATTCTTGGGTTCAAATTCCAATCCCACTAAAAACCTCCAAATAGATACCAATATGAATACAAAATCATCCTCCTAATTTTCTTAATTTTGGACAATTTTAGTGGGTTTTATTAGTTAAATTGGAAAATAAGTATGTTTTAAAATGAAAACACAAAATTGATTACGTATGTGAAATTGTAGCATGAGGTACATGAGTCTTCTCAATGTTTGTTTTTTGAGGTACATGAGTCTTCTCAATGTTTGTTTTTTTAGGTACATGAGTCTTCTCAATGTTTGTTTTATTATGTTAAAATTTTCATTGATCTGAGAGTGGGGGGATAGCTTGGGTGATTAGAGTTCCCCTCTCGGTTCAAGATGATAAGGTGATATTGTGATCGATTCTCATCACTCGCTCATGTGGCTCTCAAAACAACAACACAACCATGGAATAGCACTAGTGTCCCTGGACAACATACTACAATATGCTTTTACTAGCACTTTCATTTAGTTTTACTACAAGATTTGGCATATATACACGGCCGGTGATGAGGCTGTGCAACCAGCACCACCGCACAAGGCCCCCAAATTAGAAGGACCCCCCAAATCCAATTTACAATATATAACGTCGGCTGCATAAAAAAATAAATAAATAAATAAATAAAAAATCATAAGTTTTGTTGTAGCGTAGTGGTATAGAGGCAAGTCACAGCTATGAGTATTACCCACCTAGAGAAGTGGGGTTTGAATCTCCTGGGAGTCATTTTTTTTTAGTCCTTAAACAGAGCTTAGTTCTAGGTCCTTTTTTGGTATTTAGTTCTAACTTCAAGTCCTTAGTAATTCTTTATGTTCCAAGTGCTTAGCACCTCACTAAAGCTTAATGCCTTAGTTCCAATCGAGGGAGCACAGGTTTCTCACATTGATAAATTTGTTTTGTTTATCAAATAGCATTTATGTAATAAGTTTCCACTGTTTATCGTCATCCCCCATTAAAGATGCTTGAGAGTATGTTTCTTTCTCCATTAAAGCTGAGGAAGATGAAAGAACGACTTCATTCATTCGTGAAAATAAAATTGATACTATAAATGACCTTACCATTCTTAGATTCTGCCAAAGCTTATACCAAATAAACAAAGAATAAATGTGCTGCTATGGTAGACTAGTTGCCCATCTTCCATGGTTGTCTGGTTGGTGCTATGGGAGAACAATTGTGCTACTATGGCATTTGAAAGGAACTACTTATGGCAGCTATGGGTAAAATTAAAGGAGGAGAAAGAAAATGTTCATTCTTAGGAGTTAACGCCTTCAAACATCGTCCCGTTTCAACGTCCAGGTCGACCTGTTTCAAATACACAAGCAACAACCCAGGTTCAGTGAAAACGTCACTAATGCCCATAACTTTTCAGATGAAAGTACCATAAAGCCCCTTGACTTGTTTATCATAGTGATAAACTTGAATTTGCTCGTTCTAATCATTGCTGATTTTTTTTTTTTTAAAAAAAAAAAAAAAAAAAAAAAAAACTGATTCAAGTCTTGATATATTTTGTCTTTCATGGTTTAACTATATCTCCCATCAAATTAAAATTCATCCTCCTTATTGATTAGGGGATTTTTATCCACCAATCACCGTCTGACAAGTGGACCAACCAGGTTCCGCCACGTGTCCTTCACGTAGGCCAATAGGAGCCTGCCACGTGTCAATCACATATACGTCCTCTACGGACCAATTGAGACACGCCACGTGTCCACCCATGCCAAATGGGAAAACCGGCCAACAAGGCCCAATCCTGTTTAGAGGCCCAGTCAGCCCTAGGTTTACCCTAAACCTAGAGAGTGGCACGCTTCCCGAGGTTATAAATACCCCTCTTAATCCTCATTAAGAGAGGGGGGACTCGAAAACAACACACGGATTACACATTAAACACTCTCACCTAGATAGACTAAATCACTTTAATTTCCGCATTTATTACTCCTTAATCAGGTACTAACTTGACCGTTGGAGGCGGAGCTCCTACCACAAGGAGTCTTCGTTGTTTTGCAGGTACAGGCGTCCGGTTCCAGTCTCGGTGTTGTAACTCTCCCGCAGGACACCAGAAAACCCCGAAACATTTTGGCACCGTCTGTGGGGAGAGTACTTCTGAGATGGCATCCACGTTTGTACCGACTTTTGAAGAGAGGCGTCCCCTAGACGACCCTCAAATCCAGTCGGACCATGATACTGACAATGAACTTGAAGTTTGAGAGCATCTGTGTTCGGGCAAGGGCGGTAGCACATTCAACATATGAATGAAACACAGCTGCTGGCTAACACACACGTAGGGCCGTAGGACAGATCTAAAACAAATGATTAGGGGATTTTTATCCACCAATCACCGTCTGACAAGTGGACCAACCAGGTTCCGCCACGTGTCCTTCACGTAGGCCAATAGGAGCCTGCCACGTGTCAATCACATATACGTCCTCTACGGACCAATTGAGACACGCCACGTGTCCACCCATGCCAAATGGGAAAACCGGCCAACAAGGCCCAATCCTGTTTAGAGGCCCGGTCAGCCCTAGGTTTACCCTAAACCTAGAGAGTGGCACGCTTCCCGAGGTTATAAATACCCCTCTTAATCCTCATTAAGAGAGGGGGGACTCGAAAACAACACACGGATTACACATTAAACACTCTCACCTAGAGAGACTAAATCACTTTAATTTCCGCATTTATTACTCCTTAATCAGGTACTAACTTGACCGTTGGAGGCGGAGCTCCTACCACAAGGAGTCTTCGTTGTTTTGCAGGTACAGGCGTCCGGTTCCAGTCTCGGTGTTGTAACTCTCCCGCAGGACACCAGAAAACCCCGAAACATTTTGGCGCCGTCTGTGGGGAATACCCAGTCGTATCATGAGAGTCAGTCGGTATCATGAGAGTCAGTCAGGCGGCACCTCCCGTCAGTCAGGCTTTCATAGCGACCAGGCGGTACCAAACTTACCGTTTGTACCACAGCAACAGTATTTTATGCAGCCACCTCCGTTTGGTGGACACGCAGCTAAAAATGTCCAACCTTTGGACTGGCAGCTACGGTTGCTTAGACTTGGTGAACAGCCGTCGGCCTTCTCCAAGGAAATCACTGAAGCCGCTCAGCCGGCCAAAGTGAAAAATGTGTTAGTAGGCGCCTATGATGGCACTACTAACCCAGAAGATCATCTGATGGCATTCTCCAACCTAATGTACCTTCAAGGGTTGGATGATCCCACTTGGTGCAAGTGTTTTCCAGCGACTCTCAAAGGAATTGCACAGCAATGGTTCGGCAACCTGCCGACTGGTTGTGTAAACAACTTCAGGACGCTTGCTTACTTGTTCACCTCCAACTTCGCCATGAACATTCCTGCGAAGAAGACGACCCTTGATTTGGGAACAATTCAGCAGGGTGAGAAGGAGGGGTTTCGATCCTACATCAGGCGGTTTAACCTGATGAGAATACAGATTCAAGGGTTACCGGATGAGGTAGCTTATACTGACTTTTTCAGGGGTCTCAAAGACGGGTCGACCTTCAAATTTGATCTGGTTCGAAAGAGGGTGGCGACTCTTCAGGAGGCCTTGATTGAAGCAGAAACCTATATACAGGCAACTGATCTTTGTAGTGCAGTGAAACAGTCGGACGGGAAAAAGTTCGACAAAAAAGAAGGACGACAGATACAGTCGTCAAACAAGGAAAAGAAGAGAAAAGAGGTCTGGGCGGCTGATTCCTCTAAACAGCCGGCCCAGAAGAAGAAAAAAGAATTCAAACCATACTCCCCAAAGTATGCGTTTAGCAAGGATAGCCAAACTATCCTAAACGAAATCAAGGGACGGATCTCTATTGAGAAGCTGGTCCCCATGAAGGGTTCTGCAAGCAACCGGAACCAAGATAAATTCTGTGATTATCATGAAGATGTTGGTCATCACACCAACGAATGCATCAGTCTCATGCGGTATCTAGACCGCCTGGCTGAGCAAGGTGATCTTGACTCTTTTGTCAAGAAATCCACAGGGAGCACTTCCTCGAAAAAACAGTCGGCCAAAAAGAATCAACAGGCCGACAGCTCTGATACAGATGATGCAGTCGTCTACACTATTGCAGGCGGCTTCGCAGGAGGAGGTCCCACTATTAGGGGCAACAAAGACAATATCAGGCGGCTAGATGTAAATTCTGTTCACCCAGAACGACCCTCCAAAAATTCATTTCCTGAGATTGTCATTACTGAAGAAGATCTAGGAGGGGTTAGGGGGCCGCATGACGACCCTATCGTCATTGAATGTAAAGTGGCCAATCAAAGAGTTGGTCGAATCCTCATAGATACCGGAAGCTCCTCAGATCTTATCAGTAGCAAATGTCTGTCAAAATTGAAGTACAAAACTGATTGTATACATCCGGCCTCCCACCCTTTAGTAGGGTTTGGAGGAGGAGTCGTCCACCCTGTAGGACGAGTAGATCTACCCATCCGCCTGGGTGAAAAAGGGGAAGGACGACACATGGTAGTCCGGTTCCTGGTGGTAGAAGAACTCTCGGCCTACAACATGATTCTGGGACGACCAACCCTAAATAATTCCAAGGCTGTAATAATCCCATCTCTTATGTTGCTCAAGTTTGAGAGGGACAATGGAACAGTCGGCTCCCTAAGGGGAGATCAGAGGATGGCACGAGAATGCTATCTCTCGGATGTCAAGCCCACTGTTATGGCCGCTGGGTCCAGTGGAGGAAAGATTGACAATGTCAAGGATAATGCGCTTGTTCAAGAAGCAGGCGGCAAAAAAAGAAAGGCATCCCAGATGGGGGCCGCAAGAAAAGATAAAAAATAGTAATCATTGGCAGAGGAGCGGTCGGATGAATTCCGCCCTCAGCCGGCTGGTGAGCATACGGACCTAATCTTAGATGTCTCGCGTCCTGACAGAACAGTCAAAGTTGGGACGACTGCTCTAGGGGTCCTAGGTGATGACTTTCACAATCTGTTGAAAGAATACAAGGACATCTTTGCATTCGAAGTCCATGAAATGCCAGGCATTAGTCCTGAGCTGGCGGTACA